AAAAAAGTTGAGGTGGGCGTGGTACATCCGGGTGGAATTACTAATTGTTTACATTTTGGGAAAGGGGCATAACTCGCATAGGATACATTTGTTCAAAAAGGAACTTTGCACACAATTACCTCATTATTTTGGACAGTTTGTGTTAATAGGTCAATTGTTTCAGCTTTATAGTTCCAAAAAAGGAACGGGTTTTGAAATTTCCATATTTTCAAATTTCTATTTTGACCTTTATTGACTCTTAATGACCTATATCTTTTGACCTGTATGATGTAGAAGCTTTAAATTTGGGATACTACATAACATTCAGAATATCAATTAACCTATGCAAAAGAAATTAAGGTGGGCGTAGCACATCCGGGTTAAATTACTCATTATTGACAATTTTGACAAGGGACTTAACTCGCAACGTATACATTTGATCAAAATGGAACTTTGCATACAATTACTTCATACGTTGAGCCACGTTGTCTTAGAAGTTCGATTGTTTCAGCTTTATAGTTCAAAAAAAGGAACAGGTTTTGAAAATTCAAAATTTTCAATTTTTGACCTTGACCTTTTTTGACCCTGATTTTTGTAGGATCAAAGGTCATTCAAATTGGTTATCTATTTATACTTTTATATTTGCTGTCCTATCTCAACTTCCGGTTTTATAGCCGTATATATTTACAAATTTTGATGACTTGTATCTCGTAACCTTGACCTTTGTTGACCCTCTCCCTTTCAATGTTAAATGTCATTGACCTTGGCTATCTTCTGATACTTTCATTTGTGAGGTCTGTCTACTTCCGTTATAACAATCTTCCAAAGAATTCTTCTCAACTTTAGACTGCTCTTGCGCGTGATGTAATTATCGTAAAAGGTTGATTTTTTCAGAGTCTTTTGCAATTTGCTACATTTGCAAAGTCCCACTCTGTGCCACGTGTGGCTCTAGTCCATATTATTTATGTTAAATGTCTGTGTACATTATATTTTGAAAATAAAATGAACTGGTGTGTTATGTCTTGCTTTCTGCACTTGATTGGCAATGCCATGCAGTGTGCAATGAAGGGATTATTGGCAAGACAGTGGCATTAGCCATTAGCTTACTCTTTATTTCTAGCTGTCAAGGGATATTTTACATGCTCTTACACTAGCAAACAGGGCCTTGGTTTATTGTCCAATTCAAACAACTAGAGGCCTCTTATTATGTCAGGCAATCTGACCTGTATCACTGGGTAGAAAATATAGATGTTCCCATTGCCTGGATTGAACCTTGGACCTTGGACCTTCAGGTTACAGAGCAAGCATCTGATTCACTGAGTGTTATTCTCCTTCAGGAGCAGTAGTGGTTCAGTGGGTTAAACTTTCTCTAACATGAAGTCCAGGGTTCATTTAACATAGTTCAGCTTAGTACTTACTGCGATTTCCTCACAGTTTGACCATGTCAGTGCTGTAGATAGAATAGCTGACATGAAAGGGCATCTAGTCATTCAGATAGGACAACAGGGCAATCCTTATAAAAGATTCTTAAGGGGACAGGTGTGCCATTTTGGGGGTTGATTTTAGTCTTGAATATATGTAAATATATATATATATTCAGTAGTACTAAAAATGTTAGAAAATCCCATAATTCCTTTAAAATTACTACATACTAGGAATTTTACTCACTACTTGAAGGCTCAAATTTCGACGGTGAACTGTTAACATTATTACTGATTGACTTAGCTTAAAATTCCAGTCTCTGAGACTAAAGTATGATTGGTAAAAAAATCAAACAAGTACTTGAAAGCTTATGTTGTCCAATTTCCCTCATTGCACAATGATGACATTGTGTGTCTTCCCTAGCCAAATTAAAAGCAAGAAGATACAACAAAAAACTATCATTTCTTTAGTATGAAATGAAAATTTTATGGCAGTTAGTCATCATGAGATGAGTTGGTTCCTAGGTTCTCACACATCTGCACACAAATTAAATATTACTTATTTACATGGCCTGGTGGTAAAATTACATTTTAATCTCAAATAGAAAGCTTCTTGATTAAAAAACTATAAGTATAAAAGACGATGGTAAATGAATATTTGAACATGAAATCTGTTTAAGCTAAAGATCTGTCAATTTTTTAAAAAGCTAATTTTCTTTCATAAGAAAAGGGATTTAAAGTTTTAAGGGGTTCAAGTTTTGTAAAGATAACAGTTTGGTAAAAATACAATTAGATTTGTCATTTTGTCAAGAGTACTTTGTATTTAGGCTTTTAGTTCAAGTGGAGTGTATTTCTTTGATTAAAGTCCAGTCCTTGCAAGGCATTTGTGTGACAATCACGCATTTGTTTGACAAATCAGAGACTTGTCTGACATTCAGTCACTAGTCTGACAATCAGACGCTTGTCTGACAATCAGACACTTGTCTGACAATCAGTCACTTGTTTGACAATTAGTCACTGTCTGACAATCAGACACTTGTCTGACAGTCAGATGCTTGTCTGACAATCAGTCACTTGTTTGACAATCAGGCGCTTGTCTGACAATCAGTCACTTGTTTGACAATCAGGCACTTGTCTGACAATCAGGCACTTGTCTGACAATCAGGCACTTGTCTGACAATCAGACACTTGTTTGACAAAGGAAAGTTTACATTAGACAGCTAAATTGTTCTGAGACCCCTATCCACTAGTGCCTTGTCAAAACTGGCATATTCCTTAAAAAAAAAGCATACGATATGGTGTGAAGAAATCTAAAATGAGAAATAGCAGAATTTGAGTGCAAGAATTTTTTAGGCGCTCTGGACTCGAAGACTGGTAAGAAAGTTTCTTACTCACTGAGCCATCATGGCTTCTCACAAAGGGTTAATATTTCCCACAAGTTCGGCACACGACCCAGTGACAGGAAGTCATTTGTTAAGTACTTATCAGTTGATGAGTAGTAGTGGTACATTATGTTATGTATGATAAATGAAGTCTGTTGTTTAAATTCATCAAACTGTTATCATCAATTAATCTTCCTGAGAGAATATTCTATTTAGTCATACTTCCTGATGATTCATTATTCTACAAAGTTCAACTTTTACTTACCACTGATGCATATAATGTAGAATACATACATGAATTTCAATTCGCTAGACATAGTAACATATGCCAACATCTGAGTGGTACAGTTTAGATATATGAACATCTCATGCATGTAATGTAGCATTATGAATTGTATTTTGCTGGACATAGTAGCATATGCCAACATCTGAGTGGTACAGTTTAGATATATGAACATCTCATGCATGTAATGTAGCATTATGAATTGTATTTTGCTGGACATAGTAGCATATGCCAACATCTGAGTGGTACAGTTTAGATATATGAACATCTCATGCATGTAATGTAGCATTATGAATTGTATTTTGCTGGACATAGTAGCATATGCCAACATCTGAGTGGTACAGTTTAGATGTATGAACATCTCATGCATGTAATGTAGCATTATGAATTGTATTTTGCTAGACACGGTAACACGTACCAAGAGTAAAGCTCATTCAGAAATGTGGTAATAAAACCCCCCCAAAAAACGAAGGACGAACAATCAGAACAGCTAATGAAAATCTGAAATGAAAGTTTGGCAATACATTGGTAGCAACAATATATGAGAAAGTATATCAATCATAAATGATATGATAAATTATGAGTATTTCATAATGAAAAGTGGTATAAGGTGTCTAGAAGAGTAAGTATACTCTGCCTGGCACCACACCAGGTTATATTTTTGATATAGGGCTAATAACAATACCATTTTCATTTTGATGCATAGAAAGTGAACATTTTAAGTTAAATTGGACACATTTGCATTGTTAGTTCATTATGTGTTTACATGCACAACCTAAGACAAAGGGCAGCTTCACTCCAAAAATAGTTTGCGAAATACACGATAAAGAACAACTTTGCTGTGATAGTTACTAGTAATTAGTAATGCAGCTTTTCTGCATAAATATGAAGATACATGCAAGCTATTGTTTATTTTGGTCTTATTCCTTTGTTAAATTTGTTTTAAAGATTTACATCTTGTAAATCTGTCAGCGCATTGTATTCAACAAGCCACATAACATCTCTGTTGAAACTATGAATGGTTTGCACTGAGTTAACTTTTTATGATAAAACATATTCAGAATGTAAATGCAATCATGTGGAATTCTTCTTAACTTAAAACATGTTTTGTTTTAATAAAGCATAATGCTGCTAGTGTAAAATATGTTTAGATTGGAAGAACCATAATGTCTTATTGTAAAGATGAAACACATATTAACTTTTCCAGACAATAACTTCAGATGAAGCACTGTTTTATATATTATTTTAGTAAATATTAAAATCTTATATAAACTTACATGACATTTTAGAAATGTGGATCTCAGAAAGATAAAAACATTTTGTACCAGTTAATGAGTTTGGGTACAATCATTCTTCATGTACACATACAGCTTAATGTATATACAATATTGTACAAGGCTTCTTCTGTCCAAGATATTGTTTTGAAGGGTCACCTAGATGATCACCGATTCCAACTGCTAATGAAATTATTTCTAGAAAGTATAGCACACGAATCTGCGAATTTTTATTCATCTAAAAACACAGATTGTCTAAATCGTAGAATTCAACAGAAAATCCCTGATTCCGACAGAGTAACAGTCATTGAAAATCGTGTTGCTTTCAGATTCTACAAGTCTAGAGGTCATCCAGAATGCACATGGAGGTTCAGGGTTTAATCCCTGCATAGGTCGAGATAATAACAAATTTTTTACATCCTTGTCAGTGATGCAGGTTTAAGACAATATATCAAATCCTTGTGTGCTACAGGCTGTGCAAGTTAAAGATCCCTGGACAATTGCAATCGAAAAAGACTAGGCTAATGTCACAGTCCTAATTGCACACTGCAGGGTGTTACCGGTCATCATTGACCCAATCAAGTGCAAAAAGTATGAAGTAAAACTCAATTCATTTCATTTTTCATTTTGAACATGCATTTGGAATAAAATAAACCTACATGAATCATTTCAAATTTTTTTGTAAAGAGAAACTTTATACTGCACCTGTGGTTGTAAAGGAAATAGGATAAAAACGTAATAGATTCAAGAATACTTGGAAACAATCTAGAAACTATGTGGAATCAATTCTATATATCAATGAGGTTTCAATTGCCTTTGTAACTGATATCTACAATCACTTGTTTTCAATTGAAATGTTTCTAAAGAGAGGAAAAGAACACATACATATCATATGATTATTATTGAAGCAAACCTAATGTTCTATCAATTCAAATCACATGTTTGATAGGGAAAACATGGTGTTTTCATCAAATTTGTTACATATTACTAAGCAAAGGTCAGTCAGTTTGTTTAGTGTTGTGTGACCCAGGGGATGAAAATAAATAGAAAACTATTTGACTTGAACATAATTCATGTGTGTAAACAAAATGTTTGTTGTTTTTCAATTATAGGTTAGGACCTCTTTCCAGATGAAGTAATTTTACCTATACTGTACCCTTTGACTTGTTTAAGTTTTTCTTTTTGATGATAGTTACCAGTAGGATATTGCCTTCCTAATACCATATTTTTTCATATTCTGCAGTATATTAGATAGATTTTTAGGGTCGAATGGTGCACGGTAGGTCACGGGAAAATTATACTGTGACCATTCAATACCATGTGCCCTTATACTGTGATCATAAAACTTAGTGCCCATATTACAGTACCATAATACTGTGTTCCGTATTAATGTGACCATAATACCTTGTGCTCGTATTACTGTGACCATAATACCCTGTGCCCTTATACTGTGACCATAATACCTTGTCTCTGTATTACTGTGACCATTCAATACCATGTGCTCGTATTACTGTGACCATAATACCTTGTGTCCGTAATACTGTGACCATAATACCTTGTCCCTGTATTACTGTGACCATAATACCATGTGCCCATATTACTGTGACCATAATACCTTGGGCCCCTATTACTGTGACCATAATACCTAGTGCCGTTATACTGTGATCATAATACCTTGTGTCCATATTACTGTGACAATAATACCTTGTGCCCATATTACTGTGACCATAATACCTAGTGCCCTTATACTGCGATCATAATACTTAGTGCCCATATTACTGTGACAATAACACCTTTTGCTCGTATTACTGTTGCCATAATCCCTTGTGTCGGTTTTGCTGTGATCATAATACTTAGTGCCCATATTACTGTGACCATAACACCTTGTGCTGGTATTACAGTGACCATAACACCTTGTGCCCGTATTACTGTGACCATAATACCTTGTGTCCATATTACTGTGACCATAATACCTTGTACTCGTCTTACTGTTGCCATAATCCCTTGTGACCATAATACCTTGTGCTTGATTACTGTGACTATAATACCTTGCGTCCGTAATACTGGGATAATAATAGGAGAAAAGAGGATAAATCAATCAAATTGATGCAGAATTAGACATAATTCATGCAGAAATATTAATCTTTCCGTATACGTATCAAAAACTAATATTATTGGTATTATTTAATATAATTACAGGTACTATTATCAGTAAGTAAGAGTCAAGATGATGTATGTGATAGATGTAGACAATATCCCTCTACCTGTAGGAAAATTGCTGGTATATTTATGGTTACAGTATTATCTAAAGGATCGTATAATCCAGTAGTAGAAATACCATCTCCAGCCTGTAATATCAATATTACTGAATTATCACGCAGTAGAAATTATATAGGTAATATTTCTATCATTAAAATACTTTTTATGGTATATGTAATTATATGCAATATTTTGAGTGATGCGTATTTTAAAAAGGGCTAGATTATGGATTAATAGATGCTTGACCAAGATGTTGATTTAGAACTGAACAAGATATGTGGCAAATATTAAAAGTAGAGGCAAGAGTTAAAAGATTAAACTGTTTATTTAATGCTCATATCACATGATTATTTACCAATCTTACTTGTGCCATTCATGATCTGGCAAGATTTTTGTATAAATCATGTTCTCTAGAATGATCCAATAACATCAAGCACTATCAAAGACAACACTAGCCAATGTTCAACAATGAATAGCCAAGTATTTATTATTTAACATAGCATTTGCTTGGTTGAATATTAAACGATCTTGAACATGAGATACAGAACGATTTTGTCAGATCGAGAATGGTAGGTGGAGTCACTGCAAAAAAGATATCGAAACAAAACGTCATTTTAAGCAATCATATTTCGACCTGAATGTTTTGTTGTAGCAATAAAAAGTAAAAGTGGCAGAAGTGTAATAAATGGTTATTGGAGAATTACCTCCCCTGGCCAACATTATGGTGTCAATACAGTATTTAAGTATTCTAAATCAAGTTCAGCTGATTGTCCTGGTGAATGTGTTTATACATCAGGTCCAACTAATGAAACTATTATAGTCCAGGTATTGTCCTTTTAACTTCATATATTGTGCAAATCGAGACATCTTAATAAAGCTTATCACAATCCAAACTAGCAGGGCAAATTTAAGGGGTGGGCCATGCCCCCCCCCCCCTCCCCCCCCCCACCTCTCAGGCCTGTGAAAGGTCTTATTTTGTGAAAAAAGTGATAAGTATGCCTTCTAAATGCTCAAAACCATTTGAAATCTATTGGCTTCTGCACCCTCTGATGGTCTCTGGCAGAGGGGGCAATGCTTTGATCTTCCTGGTGTTGAATTCCATCACATCATTTGTAAAGTGTTTTTATTTTTGTTTCGTATTCTTTTCAGTTATTGTATTACAGTCAAAATCCAGGAATATCATATGAGTTTATTATACCCAATAATGTACAGTTTAAACCATATGAAGGGTCACGTCTGATTGGGTTACCTAGATCCAGAATTTCAACCAGACGGTCATTTTTAGACAGACATAGAGGGCGTGCAATCATTAGAAATCAGAGACCACAGACGTCAGTTGGAGAACGAAATCCATATTCGAGCAGCGAGAGATCAGAGACACCTATAATAAGAAACAGACAAGAGTTCCAATTAAATACTGGAAGTCAGCCTAGAGTTCCAGAACAACCTCAAATAAGATATGGTTATGATACACTAGATGGGCGTGGTTTAAGTTATACACAGGTATGATTATTTACGTAGCTTGAAAGATTGCATGACTGAAATTATTACATATTTCTATAATATATGAGTAAATGGATAATGAGTAGGCTGTTGTCCTGGCAAAATTTCCCTCATAGCACACTATGTGGCATTGTCCATCTTCATAAGTTGAATTAGGTGCAGAAAATTAGGACATAGGAATTAACCTTTAACTTAATTATCATGCTGTTAATTTTGAACACCAAAACTATTTGAAAGGTTTCAACACCCCTTTTAAAACCAATTCAGATTGATCAAGTAGACACACAGAAGTCAATGGAAGTCTTTCCATGTATAATTTACGTTTTTGAATTTTTGCAAACTGCCACTTTAAAGGAACAAATTAAGCAATTTCGGGGATTGATTTGAGTCTTAAATATATGTAAATAGTCTTCAGAATTATTAGAAAATGAATGAAAATCGTATAATTTCTTCAAAAATATCTCAAACTAGGAATTTCTCTTTCTATTTCCATATATATATATCTTTTCTACATGTTGGAGTTTCAAGAAAAGACGAGTTGTCTTTTTAATTTTGAAACACAGATAATTCTGAATACACATGGATTTGAAGGCTCAAATTTCAATTGTGAGCTGTGAACACTATTACTGATTAGCTTATCTGAAAAATTCCTGTTTCTGAGACTTAAGTACTATTGGTTAAAAATGGCGCATCTGTCCCTTTAACTGATAGCTCTGATATTGATATTGAAATATGTGATGCTTTGATTTAAAAAAATTGACATTTTATTCAGATAAAGAGACAGCCTTACCAATCTCGTGGAGGGAGTGGTAGAAGTCCCTTGGTAGCACCCAGACCTCAGTATGTATCACCATATAATAGTAATAGTCGTAGTTATTATGGTCGAGCAGCATTAACTGGTACATCACAACAAATAGACCTACCGAATACTATTAATACTATAGTAGATGAGAATGTCTATGTGTGGAAAATATCAGGATTTAGTGATTGTACTCAACCTTGTGGTGGTGGTAAGCATTACTTTTCATCATCTTCACTATGTGAAGCTATTATGAATCTTGTCTAATACCTTGACATCATTAGGCAGTTTTCTTTTATTATTGAAGTTTGTAAATGCAGCGATTTTATTGGTTTGTATGTTAGTGAATACAGCCAATTAGAGTCCTTAACATAAAGACTGCAAACAATATCGTCTGTGATATTAGACACCATTACCGGTACTAATAATACTTTGATTGGCTCCTCAATATTTGGATTTGTATTTGTAGGTTACCAGAAAACCGTAATAGTGTGTGTTTTAAAAACAACACAAGTAACAGTAACACATGAGAATTGTAATGCCAATGTTAAACCACAAGCTCAAGAAGTAGAATGTAACACAAAACCCTGTTCACCAAGGTATGTTCATATTACCAAAAATGTCATGAAGAATTTACTTGATTTCTGCTATGCTCACAAAGTGAAATTCATTCTTATTTTAGATTAAAACTTGTGATGTCACTTTCTCAATAACCATTTGACTTCATAGTTCTTGAACTTGTTAAGTCATAAATGAGTTAATAGAACTTCAGGATTTAGCCAAAATGGTCTAAGTAGAGGGTATAAAAGTGTCCCTTATACACATACAAAGGCTACCAAACCATCCAATTGATCGAGACCCAAATGTGATCACCAACAACTACTTTGTCTGTGATATCAGCATCTGCTGGAAGCAGACGTTAACTGATCATTTACCAACCAACCTCATTCAAAGACTAGGAATCTTCTCTGTATCTCTTAATATTTTGATTCTTACAGATGGCATACTGATGAATGGGCCTCCTGTAGTGTAACCTGTGGATCTGGAACACAGATTAGAAGATTAGAATGTAAACAGAAGATATCAAACACACTAGAATTATCTGTGTCTGCTAGTTTATGTCCACAAGATGAAAAACCAGCTTCAGCTCAACAATGTGAGATGGGTAGATGTGCTGAATGGAAAGTTGGCCCTTGGAAGACTGTAAGATTTCACTTTTGATGTTGTCTTAGTTCCTGTGAAGCTACACTGAATCAAACATGTCTCAAAAGAAGTAGAAAGTCATTAGATAAACTTTGGATGTTTTTTGCGTTCATTTTGCCCTTAGATTGCTGATTGTGAATAAGATAAAACTTCATATACCCATCTGCTGCATGGGTTCACATAATAAGATGGCCAGTTGAGCAGACGCTAGTGTTGAAAGAGTTGATGGTAAAATATGAAAAAGCAGATTTGGTAGATGTCTGCTTTTATTTATCAGCAAAATCCATTTATATTTCACTGAATTTCTCTTAATGTAATGAGATGACTTATCTAATACCTGTGAGTGGGCAAATCATCTTAAAACATTAAATTTTTACTTATCTTTTTTTTCTCAGTGTTCAGTGTCTTGTGGCCAAGGTACCAGACGTAGATCTGTAAAATGTGTTGATCATCAAGGTAGTCAGATACCAGCTAGTTACTGTGATACCAGTGAACCACAGAATCAAGAACCATGTGATATGGGACCATGTAGAACAGCTTGGTTATATACTCCATGGTCAAATCAGGTCAGTCCAATTTATAGACAAATTTGGCAGAATAAGTCGCATAGGTATGATAATCCAAACAAGATTTGACGCGTTTTTGGTTTTGAGGCAGTAAACTGTATTCCTGTATGGAAGACTGCTTTTCAATTAGATCCAATTATAGAATATTTTCCATTTGGTTGAAGCATGCTGTACAACTTTCATTATTTTGAAGCATATCCCCTTTTATTGGCAGATGTGGCCACAGTTCAATTGTCTAGACCTTTATTACTATTTATGCATAGCAGAAAATAAAATTGAACGACATCATTTACTTGGATTCTAATCCTTTTTTTGATGAAATTGCAGAAGAAACATAAGTTAGATTTTTATTTTGATAAGAGCTATGGGTAGTTATAATTCAATTCTATAACATGAATAAGTAATTGTTACATAAAAGTGTTCATAATATTATTTTGTATCATATTTTACAGTGTTCAAGTAGTTGTGGGGCTGGATTTAAAACTAGACAAGTTATCTGTTATAGTAAAGATGGTAATGAGGTTCAGTCATCAGTTTGTGATGCCAGTAAAAAACCCAGACCAGAAGTCTCCTGCCATAGTGATGAATCTTGTGGTTCAAAATGGTTCACTGGGCCTTGGAGTGAGGTAACTATCCAAATATGTTATCATCTGACCAAGGTATATAGAGTTATGTTTTTATGTCAGTGTTCAAGTGATTGTGGTATTAAATATATATTATTTTAGGGTTCTAGTGATTGTGGTAGTGGTATAAGTTTATTATTATTTCAGTGTTCTAGTGATTGTGGTAGTAGTATTAGTTTATTATTATTTCAGTGTTCTAGTGATTGTGGTAGTGGTATTAGATATATATTATTTCAGGGTTCTAGTGATTGTGGTAGTGGTATTAAATATATATTATTTCAGGGTTCTAGTGATTGTGGAAGTGGTATTAATATTAGGTTATTATTATTTCAGTGTTCTAGTGATTGTGGTAGTGGTATTAGATATATATTATTTCAGGGTTCTAGTGATTGTGGTAGTGGTATTAGTTTATTATTATTTCAGTGTTCTAGTGATTGTGGTAGTGGTATTAGATATATATTATTTCAGGGTTCTAGTGATTGTGGTAGTGGTATTAGTTTATTATTATTTCAGTGTTCTAGTGATTGTGGTAGTGGTATTAAATATATATTATTTCAGTGTTCTAGTGATTGTGGAAGTGGTATTAGTATTAGTTTATTATTATTTCAGTGTTCTAGTGATTGTGGTAGTGGTATTAAATGTTTATTATTTCAGGGTTCTAGTGATTGTGGAAGTGGTATAAGTATTAGTTTATTATTATTTCAGTGTTCTAGTGATTGTGGTAGTGGTATTAAGAATAGATATGTGGTATGTATGAAAGTAGTTGGTGATGCTGCTGTAGTATCTAGAGATGAAGATTGTTGGAATAGTGAGAAACCAACTAAACAAGAAGATTGTAATAATCATGCTTGTGGATCAGAATGGTTCATTACAGACTGGAGCCAGGTTAGTTACCTTTGTCTTAAGATCAACTGCATGCAGGCAGGCAGGCCTATATCATGGAACAAGTAAGAAGCTAGGGCGCTTGATTACTGATTTCTGCCATTCAGGATTCATGGAGTCAACATAAAGTTCAATAAAAAATATTTGGAACAAGGTATTGAATAAGTTCCACTTCTGCCACAAAAAAGTGGCTGTAGACTGAATTCAAACTGCCAGAGAAAGGATTAAATGGGAAAATTTTGAATTTGAAATATGTGTATGTGGTTCCGTAATGTTCAACTGTTTTGGTTGTCAAGATCTGGTGCGCTTTCTTTGAAAACATGTGAATAACATAGCCCAGATCATTGACACCAACACATTTGAAACAAGCTGAAGATAGCGTGAAAATTTAAGCATAGATTTTTAAAAAAAGTTCTAAAACGTATTTCTAATTTTCATCTGTTTTCTGCAGTGCTCAGTAACGTGTGGTACTGGATTTAAAACAAGAGAAGTGAAATGTTTAAATAGAAATAAAAGATTAGGTAGTGGTTGTGATTCAAATAAACGTCCAGAACCTCGAGAGACTTGTCAACCAAGACTATGTCCGGCTAAATTACTATCAGCAGGTATTTATTGATGGCTTTGTGATAGAAACCAATGTCATTCAGATTGCCAGCAGAATGAGCAGTTTCGTAGAACACTATATATGGGCAAAATTCGGGAAAAAATAAAATGTCAAAAGTACTGTTAGCCTTTGCGTTGATAAAAATAAAAGCTTGAGCACACATTATGTCTTCAAAATTTATTTTTACAGAGACCAATTTTCGCAACGCAAAGACATTCTAAGACTATCAGTACTATTTTGAGACTGATATTCCAATTCTAAAAACCTTTTGATTTGCTCAGACTATAGCAATATAGAGACGATATCTTCAGTAGCTGATGACATTTGGTTGAATGAAATAGACAGTGTTTTCGATAGTAAAATGGTTCCTTTTGATCAATAAATCATAAATTGATCTGGTGTCACAATAGCATTACAAATAATAGATCTATATAAACTAAAAAATATGTCCCTTGCCCAAGGCTTGCGTTTTGACAACAAACTTCCTGAATTTCTCAACAAACCTTTATGTCCTCCTGAGGCATTTTATAGGCTAGCAACAGGCTGCACTAAGGTGCTTACATAATTGATAGTTTTCAGCGGTCTTTGAAAAAAAATTTGGAAATTCACTATTCCTCTTTTTTTGTAGTTCAGTTTAAAACTATGCATGTTTTATTTTCATAATTTTTTTTTTCACTTCTGTTTAGAAAATGATGGTAGAGATTTGTATAGAAGTTGTCCATTAGTTGTTCGTGCTAGACTGTGTTCTTATAAATATTACCAACAGATCTGTTGTACATAATATGTGTAATTATATTGGACCTAATCACAATACACGTGATTGGAAATGAAAGGCATTATGTATCATTTCTCTAGCTACACTGTAATTTTAACAAACTGAATCTCATAAGGAGATGAAAGGAGAATAATTTTAGTCTCCATATAGGATATAGACTACAGAATATTTACATTATTAACTCTTTAAAGGATTTGTAAAGAGGTTTTCAAAACTTTTTATGTGTATCGGGGACACTGACAACATCCATTTGCACCATTTTCATTTTCTGCTAGACATCTGTGGTTCTTGCAATTCCACTAAAACGATTTATGATGTAACTATAACAAGGCCTTTACATAGAATAACAACTTTTGCATACAATGCTTAACTTTAGTGGAATTGCATCAACCATAGATGTGTGATTGAAAAGTGGAATTGTGCAAAAACATGCTATCAGTGTTCTCAATAAAACAAAATAATTCATCTTGAGTCATGTTTGAAAATATTTTCAGAGATGGATTGACAACTATAAAGCTAAGATTCTATATACGCGTCAAGCGGATGCGTCATGCGGATATAAATGGCCCTTGCGGATCCGTCATGCGTCAAATATGATTCCATATGTGCGTTAAACATATGCGTTTTCTTTCTTTTGACGCACGGACTTCTAGACAGATGGATGCTTTGGTGCATAAAAAAGACAGGGAATTCCCACAAAATACCTTACATTTTGGAGATCTCCGCGCGGAAAGGTGTCTGGATGCGTAAAAAATCGCTACACCCGGCGATTTTTTTTTTTACACATGATGGAGACCATTTGACGGATACCTTATCCGCATATATGGAATCATACCCCCTTAAACCAACCATTTCGATTTTTTAACGCATGATGGATGACGCTTACGGATCCACATGACACATATATGGAATCTTAGCTTAAAGATTTTTAGATTAAGGTATAAATTAGGAATATCAGAACAATCTACATTATGTGGAAATTGACAAATCTGAAGTTAAGTTGGGATAAAACTAAATAAGACATAGGACAAGCAGCTACAATTGACTGTGTAATTTGTTTTATGAGATCTGATGCTGTATCATAATTGCCTGTATAAATTTTACTTCTATTATATATTCAACAATTATTGTGCATTTAAATATTTTGAAAATTATTTTGGTTGAGCATGGCTGTGTCCTTTTTTGAAGCTTTTGAAATTTTAAAGTTTTTCAAAAGCTACTATCAAGGGAAATTTTTTTTTACCTATTTCAAGATTTTCAAGATGGGAGTTTATGAATTTGAAATTTAATTTTTTTTTCGTATTTTAACGTATGGACGCAGGCTGAAAATAGGTCAGTTGTACGAAGTATCTCTGAATAACAACATGATACAAGTTCTGTTTCAATATTTCTATATAGCTCTATAATGGTATTGAGCACTATTTTAACAGTGAAAACATTTTTTATTATTTAACTATTAACTAATATATGTAGTCTATTGACTGCACATAGGCTTCCCTTTTGAATTCTAGTGGCGATGAAGGGGTCAGCCTCCCTACTGAAAAAATTTTCTAATCTATGAATTCGGAGAATGCATTTATCGCGATTTCGGCAGTTAAAGAATAAATTTTTCAATTATTTTTTTCCCAAGGGGGGAATCCAACACAATAGATAATAAATAAATATATGATAGACCCATGTTTTATATTTGGTCACATTATATCAGTTATTATTCATTGTATATATTCATTGTTTATTATTATCATATATTATATCCGGTGCTTTAAAACATAAACAGAGTTTTTTATTTGTATTTATGAATTTTTTTTATAAATTATCCCACCAATATGAGTTTCCTAGATGATATTTAATTATATATTTGTCAACTTTATTTGATTTTTTGTAAAAATTCCAATAAATGGTTTAAAACATTTTTTGTCGTATTAATATGTCTATTTATTCCTGACTAACCTTACTGAACCCCAAAAGGTACTCATTGCACTCCTTTAGGCATGTCTGCACGAAGAAGAGTGGGATGTAAAACTCCATTTCATTTCCAAAATTTAAGGTACACCTGTTAAAGGTAATTGTCCATATTAGGCCTACATAGCAGTGGTGGAGCCAGGTTTACGTCCGAGTTCAGTTTAACTTAATAAGGTCTCATGATTGGATTGGAATTAGAATATTTATATCATAGATAGGCCTACAGTGTATCCTTAGCTTAACAGTTTCTCCCCCAGAACGATGCACTTAGTAAGCCACCTCTACACAAACTACATATTTTGCTTAGTATATTGCATAGCCTTTTTTTCACTTAATTAATTATTAAATTAAATCATAAAAGTTTATTTAAAAGGAAAACATCAAATATTTGTTTCTAGAAAATTACTCTGAAATTTAGTACAGAGGACTTTTTGATTTGTTCCTGACTGTCTCTACACAATTTATGCAAATATGTCAAGGAACATACAACAACTGTCGTGTATATATATAAAAAACACAACAACAAAAAAGCAACAAACAATAGGACTGTAATGGAATATAATTATAGCCATGGGTCAAATTTATTTCGTTCCAGTCTAGTGCTTGCCACGTCAAAATTTTAAAGATCCCATAAACGACCTTGACATTGGAGTCGCGTGGAAAGAAGTTATTTTTTCTTCACTCTCTGTAACAACTTTGGCTAAACATCGGATATTTTATTTTTGGGGGGGATAGAAATAATCAGATCAGCATCCAAAATGTTCGAAGAAGTCAGCGAAGTCATGGAAATGTTTCGGAATGCATTTCCATTATCATTTCTATTCTTTATTCCCATTCTGATTGCCTTAACGCCGGTCGGTGCAGCAAATGAATTTTCAGTTTACAAAATGCAAAGATATGATTTGCAAGGAACATCATTTGGTAAGTAAAGAAATCTTCAAGAATGGGAATCTAGCATTCCATTTATAACATAATTCTTATTGTAGGCCATCGGTTTTTTTGTGTAATGAAATGATTTACCTTCCAAGCCGCAAGGCCCTCTCAGAATTTATTCCTTTTACTTTTCGTCTTTGGCTTAATATATTAGGCCTACTAAAGACGCAGTAGGCCTACTGTAGCCTGTTTAGTTGGGTATTAAGGGGTGAAAGCCAATACCTTAGCCATCACATGATATTCTATCTTGTATTTACACAAAATTTATTTCCTTGACTTACTATGCTAGGGAATGGTTTGATAAGACTATTGACCTATTGTTGACTACGAACAAGCAATCTCAGTAAACTAAAGCATCTGACTCGATCTCTTTTATAACATTAAGCTTAGATCAGCTCAAGAAATTAGCACTTATTGATATTATGAGTATGACACTTTTCACTTTCAGGTTCTAAGAATTTTTTGATTAATATGGAAGCTAGACCTGTTGGATCAAGTTCTATGACTAGAAGATGTATAGTAGCTAGACTAGAAGAAGTGACATTATCTGGGTATAGAGACTGGGTCAGCCAGAATGCTGGAGGATTGGTCATTCTCATACCTGAAAATATTCAACAACTCTCTGAAAAGGAGAAGAAGGTAATATGAAACTGGAAATGGCTATCAATTGCAAAAATGCCTGTTCAGATATTTATTTAAAATTTTCAGTTAAATTGCTCTAAACAAATATTTTTCTTCTATTATTAGCATCTTCAGAATCTAGAAGAAGATTTACTGGTAGAAGAAAGTGGAATTCCTGTTTACTTTGCACCAGAAACTGAAGAACTAGCAGAAATCTATGAAAGTATAAAGAATGGTGCTTCTGGAGATCAGGCAGCTACTGCTTGGCAAGGTGGGTGGTGTGGATTAATGCTTTGGAATTTACGGTCATGAATTTCTTCATTCTGGAAGTTTAAAAGTGATAATCCATTCAATTGCTTGATTAGATTGACAGCAACAACCTTTTTGGATTTATGAAATCATTACTTTTGTGGCCATTTCGGGGATTTGTGATTTAAAGTATAACATTTTTGGGTATAAATACTTGGCTATCCCAATTTTAGTCTCTAGGTTGTGGATTGTGGTGGGAAATGAATGATAATTGGACTATAATTACACACCATTATGTATGTTTTCTGATCACATATCTTGGAAATAATTTTTATGGTCTACAATTTTGCAATATCTTCTAATTTTTTTGCTTACAGCTTTTCTTGGGGCTGCTACAGCAAATGGTTTCCAGATGGTAATGACTGGACCTGCAGAGAAACCTTTGACAGATTTCCCTATAGCCAGTATTCAGGTTAGACTCCCATCTTATCTTATATTTTCTACTCTGTTGTATGTTGCCTAGAGGAAGTTTCTAAGAAGACATCAAGGCCTTAAATGTTTTGTTATCAAGGAAGTTTTATGCTTTTGTCTTAGAAAAATGCCTATAGTTCCCAGCAAGGCAGAAACCTTCAGAATACAAAATTTAAAAATTTAGATTATTGCTAGAGGCAAGTAGGTTCTTTCCAAGTTTGACTTATGAAGGTTTGGTGTACTGTTTTCTGTTATAGAAGCTGATTATGATAATTGTTATTGTAGGGTCGTCTATCTGGAAGTGGTATTGAAGAACAGTTGCCAAGTATTGTTATAGTAGCTCATTATGATTCCTTTGGTGTGGCTCCTGTAAGTAAGATACTCTTAATTCTTAAATACCGCTAGATACATTTCTTGTTGTTTGGAGAACATTTAGTTAAATTTACTATTTTTTTTTTTTGGCAAATAATGGAATCCTTTAAATCCTTTAAAAATGCGAGAAACTTTAAATTGGTCTTTGATTTTTCCAGGGTTTAGCTCAAGGTGCAGACTCTAATGGAAGTGGTGTAGTAGTATTAATGGAATTAGCCAGATTATTCTCTAAATTATTTACCAATTCCAGAACACATGCCAAGTATCCTTTATATAATTAGTAATATATCATGTTTTGAAATATGTACTATACAAAACTTAACAATGTATATCATTGACTTACTAGTGAATATAAAAATACGTAACTTGTAAATGATGCTATGTTTTCGGTTGGAGTCAATGTACAAAAACTTATTATACTGCTTGCTTACAATTCTTACATTCTGTTTAAAACAAATTCATTTTTAAAAAAGATTTCAAGTATAATTTACAACATATCTACTAAAAAAAATTGTGCCTAACACAGAGATAGATCTTGAAATGATTTGTCTAGACGTGCATTATAGCCAATGGATAGTAAAGTATGGATTGCAAGTGTCATTTTAGCTTCATCAACTCTTGTCAGCTCATGTTATCCAAGACAAGCCCTGGCAATTCTGACAAAAAGGATAGTTTGGTATGTCTTAAACTAATAAGAAATCTCTCATATTGAAACAAAATATAACCTTAACTATAACTTGATATAACTTAGTGTTTTTATTATCGGGTGGTGGTAAATTTAACTATCAAGGTACTAAAAGATGGATAGAAGATAACCTCGAATTAGGTCAGTAGAAATTGTTGGCCATAGATAATAGATACACCTTAAAAAAACAATTATTCCAAAAGTCTTTGAAAATTTCAGAGAAGTATAGGTTAAAAACAATGATTTATTTTTGTTTTGTTTTATGGTTTCAACAATTCAAGAACAAAAGCAAATAAGTGTTTCTTAATGATTGTTTTGTAGATGCCAATGTGTTTACCGATGCTGCTTTTGTCCTGTGTTTGGATTCACTTGGAGCTGATCAAACTTTGAATCTTCATGTATCTAAACCACCTAAAGAAGGCAGTGCTGGAGCAGAATTTTTAAAGGTAGTATATTGAATTTTGATGAAAGATGTGTCTTAGTACTTGAAGTGAATAAATGAGATCTGGATAAAATGGCTTTAGTTTGCATTTTGTACATTTAAATCATCTGTTGCTCTGAAGCTTACTCTTTTTTACCCTGGCCTGTGCTTTCTGGAATTTTCACCAGTTTGTCAATGAGACTGCCAGTCTTCATGATACTTCTCCTGTTGTGTTGTAGAATTTAGAAGAACTCGCCAAGTCTAGATCACCAGCTGTTAAATTTAACATGGTACACAAGAAGATTAACTTAGCTGATGAAATGTTAGCCTGGGAACATGAACGATTCAGTATTAAGAGATTACAGGCTTTCACCTTGTCACATTTGGACAGTCATAAATCACCACTTAGATCTTCTATCTTAGATACCAAGTATGTAAATGTGGATAAGATTTGAGCACAAGGACCTGATCAAACATTAAAACTGTTACCAATACTGCATACTGATTTCAGATCTTCCTCAAAACTGGAGTAAGTAATGGGCATACATGAAATCTAATAGCTTTGAGTATGTCATCCATTCTTATCAAGTTTTTAAAAGTGACACAGATAATCCTTAAAGAGCATTGCCAAAAAGATTTTGACGGAATTACTATCCTTGTTCTTTTTTAATTGTGGATTTTAATTAGTATGTGAAAGATCTGTAGAGTAATTAATGAATTTGTGATATTTCCAGGGAGAATGTAAATGTAGAAGTGTTAAACAGAAATGTTGGAATCATAGCAGAGTCCTTGGCAGCTTTTATTTATAATACATCAACTACTAGTGTGTCTCAGTTATTCTCACAGTCATTGGTATGTTGGGTTTTAACTTCATATTCACTTTGCTTTATGAAGGGGAGTACTGGCTAGGGGGCGCTCGATTGGTGAGTCATGCACATTCACGGAAAACAATTTGGATTAGGCTTCAGAATGCGTGCCACCTGTGCCACAAAAAGAGACAGAAAATGAAAATGATGGAGAAAGGAATAGTATCTAAGTTCTTGACCAATAGATTGAAGCCAGAATTTGAAAAGACATAGCCTGTTTTGAACTCTATCGGATGCTCCAGATAAACTAAAAATGTTATTGCTAATAGGGTAGCAGTAAGTAGCACCTTGAAGGTATGTCTCATAATTTTAAGAATAATTATTAACAAAAAGCTCTTAAATTCCAGGGTCCTCAAGCGAGTATTGAATCTGCCATGTTAAATTATTTAATACAAGAATCTAGATGTGCTCAGTTAGTAGCACCAGAACATAGTCTAATAACTACTTTACAAGATACTATGTCCAGATATCTTAAAGATGTTAAAATATCTACTCATAAAGCTGATAAAAGGTAATGGTCTTTTTCTTGTTTTTTCAAGAGATCTTTCACCATTGCATTTCTTGTCTAATACATTTACTGCAATAGCCACTTGTCATGTATTACACAGTTTATAAATGAAGGGATTTGATTGGATTGTACTCTACCGATAACAGCAAATCAACAGAAAGACTGGAAACAAATAGTTTGATTTTTCTCGTCCAGAGTAATAATACCAAGGCTTCTTCAAATAGATCTAACATTTTCTATTGTAGAGATCCTGAATTTCTGTTTTATAGTGGTTCACAATATACAATGAATGCCTATAAGTAAGTACTTGTATTCTTTAATTTCATGATTAACTTGAATTATCAGAACTTGAATTTTAATCGTACTTAAAGATATATGCCTCAAGTTATAGGAATTCATATCTCAAGTACCAAATCAAACATCAAAATGATTTTTGCATGTTTACGACACTTGCCATTGTTGTCTGTTCATTCACAATTTGTTCTGTATAGAATTGCGAATGAGTTTTGAGTTCGATAAGATTTTGATAGAATATGGGCTGATTTTGAGCTTAAACCTATAGATCTTGGACAAGTTCCATTGTCTTTTGTTTTATAATGCCTTTGACATTCAATTTGATATACAAGTAATGTATTGCGACTTATTATAATTTCAGTGTAAAGCCAGCAGTATTTGATCTGTTTTTAGCAGCAGCTATCGCAGCTTATCTAGTCATGATCTGGTTTCTATCTCAGGTAAGTTCTACTCACAGTACACTGTAGACTTTGAAATATGGACTTCCTGATTCCTCTTATGTATGGGAAAGCCTTATGTCTCAAAAGTATCGGACCTTATAGGAGAATCTCAGTAATGTATGAGAGTTTCATTCCTCAAATGTATGAGAGTCTCAATCCTCAAATATATGAGAGAGCTCTGTCTTCAAATGTATGAAAAAGTCTCTGTCCTCAAATGAATGAGAGCTTCATTCTTCAAATGCATGGAAGCCTCCTTCCTCAAATGTATGAGATAGTCTCTGTCCTCAAATGAATGAGAGAGCCTCTGTCCTCAAATGAATGAGAGAGTCTCTGTCCTCAAATGTATGAGAGAGACTCTGTCCTCAAATGTATGAGGGAGTCTCTGTCCTCAAATGTATGAGAGTCAGTCCTCAATTGTATGAGAGAGTCTCGGTTCTCAAATGTATGAGAGTCTCGGTTCTTAAATGTATGAGAGTCTGTCCTCAAATGTATGAGAGAGACTCTGTCCTCAAATGTATGAGAGAGTCTGTCCTCAAATGTATGAGAGAGTCTGTCCTCAAATGTATGAAAGAGTCTCTGTCCTCAAATATATGAGAGAGTCTCTGTCCTCAAATGTATGAGAGAGTCTCTGTCCTCAAATGTATGAGAGAGCCCCTGTCCTCAAATGTATGAGAGTCTGTCCTCAATTGTATGAGAGAGTCTCGGTTCTCAAATGTATGAGAGAGTCTGTCCTTAAATGTATGAGAGTCTCATTCCTCAAATATATGGGAGAGCCTCTGTCCTCAAATATATGGGAGAGCCTCTGTCCTCAAATATATGGGAGAGCCTCTGTCCTCAAATGTATGAGAGAGTCTATTGCCATTACTTTTAAATTGATATTTGATACACAATTATGATTTTTAGTCTCTTTTGATGTCCATAAAAGTTACATTTTTGTGTTTTCTTTTTCAGAATATGAATGTGCTATTTTCAACAATCAAGAAATATGTACAGTCACCACAGAAAGTGAAATCCCAATAAGAAAACCTAACTATATTAATGTTGATATTTATGATACAATGAAAACCTTATAATATAAGTATATGTATAAATTATGTGTAACACATTACTAGCTTGATATGAAAGAAAGTTGATTATGCCTCTGCCAGTGCTTTTGAGATTAGGTCCATATCAGCTCTCACCACCCAATACCTAAATATCCCATCCATATATCACATCATAAGAACTGGTAGAGCCATATTTGTTGGGCTAATATTAAGTATGTATATAGTATGCAAGAAATCAAATTAGAACAAAAGTTTGTAATCAAGTTTGTTTGGAATGTTACCTTCTATGCATCTGATAATATTTGTATGTTTGTGTATTTTGCCCTTGATTAGTTATTCTTTTCATTTTGTTTATTTATCTCATATATTCATTCCAATTTTTACCTACAAATGCATTAAAATATGACAACAAAATTTGAAATGTTTCTACGTTTATTGTACAAATGAAATTAGATAAATTTTAATCACCATTTCATTGTTTCACTTCTTGCCTTTTATATTTTGAAATATTTGGAGCCATGCCCTGACGGGCCAGGGTTCAATTCCGGCGTGAATATCCCTTCGAATTTTTCAATCCGGTTTCCCCGTCAGTGATGTAGGTAAAAAGGCCTGGCATGGAAAAAGTGTCTAGTCGTTCGGATTGGACAATAAACCGAAGCCATGTGTGCTATCGTCTGTGCGCGTAAAAGATCCCTCGACAGTTGGAAATCGAAAAAAAATACAGGCTTATGCCGCTGTTCTGGCAAAATTTCCTGCATGGCGTTGCCCGTCTTCATTATCCCACATGGCACAGAAAAGTAGGACGTAAAACTCCATTCATTTTCCAATCCCTTACAGTCTATTTAGTAGAAAGATGGCCAAGGGTGTCGAATATTTACACCCACAGTCAGAGCGCATAATATGATTTGATGCCGTGGAAGATTGATTGACAATAATTTAACAACTTGAACGATTTATTAATCTAATATTACAACTACATTATCACAGTGCTGACAGATAATTAAATTTCTGTTGACCTTCTAGTCAACAGCTGTTCCTGTTTAACACAATAGATTTCATTTCAAGTTCTTTCTCATTAGTTCTTTTACTTGCGACAGATGATATTAACTCCAGTTCAATAAGAGGCCCAAACCCCACCCCTCCCCCCAGCCTTTCCTCTGCCTCCTGTTTTGCTGATCGACAAAGGATCTGTGACTGTGCCAAATAAACAAAAAATCGTGCTGTTATATTAAGAATTTTATCGGAGCTGGAAGTCACGACGATTAATCAATATATCTCATTATCATATTGTATTATTGATCCGTTTCCAAGATGGCCGAAACTCAGATGTTACATTTAAGGCTTTTATAGAAGAAAATGACGCTTGTGATTAATTAGATAATATTTAAGGATTTCAAGTGAGTCAAATACTAAATTTACGCTTTGTGCATAACCAACAAATTTTTTTTAAAGCGAACCGCATTCTGTTATTATTTGCATGGTGCCAGGCAACACCAGAGTAAGCTTTATAATGGAATCAGGTCTCGTAGTACATAGTAAATCGATGTACATTATTGATAGAGCTAGTGTGGTTCTGAATCAACATTATTTTTGTATTAAGCAAATTACAGACAATGAAATGTATTATAGACACAGCATATTCCATACAGTGTTATATTGTCTAGTTCGGTTGCCCCCAAGCAATATTTTTATCAATGAACATTGAAAGCTTTGTGTCCTAATTTAGAGTATTTCTTTACCAATTAATTCATGTAGCCTACATCCCAAAGTGTCAACAGAATAATCTCTCTTCAAATAGATATATAATTATGATGAAGCCTTTGCACTTTTTACATTCAAAAGAATGCAAAATATTCCTGAAAATTTTGGTCTATTTGTGCTCTAATCCCTTGTAACAAAACATCGTTCTTCTGTCATATTTTTTTTAAATTCTGACAATTGTTTCAGATACAAACACATTTACAATGGAGTGGTTAAAGCAGAAGAAGGCAAATTATGAGAAACGGAATCAAACAACGCATTCGTGGTACAGTCAGAGCTTTACAGGCAATTTACCTACCGTTAGATCCAAATCGGCCACATCTACACCAACAGCTGGTATAATGATACCCAAGAAGTCTCATTCTACCAACTCTTCACCACTGAAACCTCATGGACCAGGTCCTCGACCAGACTCGGCCAATCAACAATACTCTTACGATGGTGGAGTCTTTTTATCGCGTTCTCCAAGACACGATTTCTTTATCATTCATCCAGAATGGGTATCTGAAGAACCAACAATAGAAAAACTGTCCATTAAAGAAAAGAGAGCTAAGTCCATGTCATGGCCAAGACGGCGATGTAAGAGCGCACCACCAGCTAAAATAAGAAATCCGATTACATGGGAATGACCACAACTCTTTTTCTAGCTGATAAAAGTGCTTTTTTATATACTGTGCACCCACCCAAGTGACTATCTGGTGAACAGAGAACAGTGGTGTCATGTGGATCTGCTTTCCTAGCTTGCACAATCTTACAGTTGTTCAGAGTATGCTTTTCAATCCCCTCTATGCATTGCCATCTTTAGGATAGTGTATGTGTGTGAAACGACACGACATAGTGTTGTGGATACGTGTAACGTTGGCATTCAAAAAGCTTGCCATTCAATAACTTTTCCATCCGTACTCTTGAAAATGAAATAATATTTTAAGGCCTTTTTCTGCATAACGCCATACCTCTATAGTTCCTTACGCTGATATCTTGTTAAGCGTTTGTCCTTCGTTTCGCAGCCACTTTTGCTTTTTTCGAATGAGAAGGCATTTCAATCGCCGATTTAGCTTAGCGGCTTTACTTTTACCATTCCAATTCCTTCATTATCATAAATATGGCAGTTTTGTAAAGACTTTACAAAAGTGGTTCATGTGGTCTCATCTAGTACCCCTGCATAACGGGGTGTGTTTAAAAAAATTCAATGGTTTTGGATGGCAATATCTTGGTTGACCTTGTAAATCCTGTGTATTCTTTATTAAGTAATCAAATATATTAGTCAAAGGTCCACAATTTAACAATTAAAGTGTCACATCGATATAATGATCTCCTTTTGGTAGTGTTAAATGAATTGACCCGGGCCATGGATATAAAGTTCTCGTTCTCGTAATTTTGTCAGCTAATCTGTTTACATGATGCCAATTATCTTTGTGTAAATCGGAATATTAGCTTTTCGAAACGACTGTCCAAAGAGTCTAAAGTCTTAAATCGGTTGATATTTCTCCAGTGCAAAATAGTTTTAAGACTAGAAAGGTCTCAGTAATGTTTGGGGGTTGGTAATTCCGAAACCAAACGAAAGTACGAATACAGTAGGCTATAGTATTGTATTGTTGGTTTTTGTTTTGGTGAAATTGCTGATGATATTTAAGATACATTTGGTTCGAAAAACGTTAATTGTGTACATATTTCGTTTCGATTGTAAATTAACGTTAACCTGTGAAAATGTAATGGTATTTTGTAAATATATTTTTTGTAAATTTATGTTTTATGTTAGAAATTTGTAAATCTCTACGTAATGCGCTTGTTTTATAATTTACCATGAAACGACTTTCAATTCATAATATTAAAAATATGATTTTTAAGAGATCTGTTTCATAAGTTGTCAAATTCGTGTCATTCTTGTGGATATAACAATTTTTTAATATTAACAGTTTCGTGATTTTAAGCACAAAGATATTCTAGTTTGGGTATTCCTATAGGTTTGTTCACTCCACCGTGGTCTCTCAGCCACATCTTTCATATGGAATTCAATCTGATGACGCCATAGAAGTCTTACAGTAATCAGCCGAAAATTGATACAAAAGAATTCTCTCAAGTGGTAGCTACGCTTAAAGGAACAGTTGATTGAATTTGTAACCACTTCTATTGAATTTTTCTTATGGATGTCTTCAGATCATGTTATGATTGAAGTGACACTTAGAAAATATACGAAACAATCAAGAGCTGGATCATGATTATATTGGATGCTGATGAGCACTAATAAATTGATGATGTGTTACATATGCCAAAAAAGTGATGGATTCAATCAAAAAAGGACAAAGAAACAAAATAAAAGATTTCAATAAAGTTTAATTATGCAAAGTATGAGCAAAACATATAAATAGATTGAGACTGTGAAAAGATGCTCGGAATCTCGAAATATGAAAGGTTCTACAATCAAAAGTTGTGCAAAAATGAATTTATTACAATTTAGGCTAAAAGCAATAAATTTTAAATCATAATAACTATCACAATCTCTAATTAATATATCTTCAAAGTTCCAAAATGCACTTTCATTATAAGAGTCCTTCTTACTTAAATGCACTTAGATTTCAAACTGAAGAAGTACCTAAACATGTTAAAGGCATTCAATCTTTAGGCTTTATAACATCTTAATTTCATACATGCTGAAGGCTCTCAGACTTTAATGTGACGAAATATTTAGGCTCTGCGGCTCTTAATGTTATAATCTAAAAATGGAATAACATTTCAAACTTAATTATTGACTAAAGTTATATGCTCTCAATTCATTATTTTTTTCAATGAAGTGTTATTCTGATTTACATAAAATAACAGAATTTAAATTCGGAATACGGTCCTAACATAACATAAAATACAATATAATTATATGAATAAATAATGCAAAAATAACAAATTAAAAAAAAAATTGAAAATAATATGAGCATTGATATATATTAGAAATAATAGTTCAACAATTAATACAAAAAATTCACATTGGAAACAATTGGGATATATATATATGAGAAAACAAACGGCATGAAAATGTCTGAATTTAAAAAAAAATATGAAAATATTCATTCGAATGTGTGAAAGAGTAATATTACTATACTGATAATACTTACTATATTACTAATAATATATGTAGGTTCTTATACATGGCAAATAATTGACAATTGATATGTGGAGATTGAAGGTAATTTTTGACTAAGAATATATTTTTTTAAATGCCAAAAATGTCCATTGTAGTAGTAATCTCTTGCCCTAAAGCCTTGCCCTGTACTTCTAGAAAATTGAGTAATCCAGAAATTATATTCCATCATGCACTCATAGAAAATCAAGAAACCAAAATTAACAAATATTTTCTAGATGATGATCCATTGGATAAAAGTTCAAAGAGCTTACTGTACTTACTGGCATGGGGTAAAAAAGATACTTAAAAACTTTAGTGTGCAGTTAATTAGTAAATCAAATGCTTCCATTTGTAATCAGTGCTGGACATGTGAAATGTGTCTAAGGATTCAATTTAAAAAGTTTACAAAATACTGATAAAGTGTTGAGGTATTAAGCAACATTTAAATCTTGACAAGAACAAACTCAAGCAAATAACAAAAGCCATAAACCATTGCCCAAATCTAAAAATACTTCAAAAAATGTAGAAACATTTCCAATATTTTAATATAATCTTTTGAATTTGAATTTGGAGATTCACCAAAAATAGTTATCTGATATGAATTAGACAAGGACCAAAAAAGTATAAATAATGGTTGGATGTAAAAATTTGAATATCTGTTTAAGGATTGAGAAGTTGTGGATGGAATCTTCTGATAGCCCACTGTATTGCCCATATACTTAATGGTCGCATGTAACCCAAAGAACGGTAACCCTTCTCTGTTGTATAAGCTTCAGGAGTCTGAAAAGCTAAACCTAGTCCTTCCCAACAAGCATGATATGCTCCATATGCTGTCTGTAGGCCTTCATCTAACAGGCCCTAAAATAGAATGAATTCAATAATACAAACGAAAGCTTTAAAACATGGTAAAATCTTTCTTGCAAGCCCCATTTCAGATCATCTTCATCCTGAAACGGACTTTACTATCTAAAAATCATCATTGGCAAGGAAAGTTGCGATAGAGATCCAAATGTAGTTGATTCTTACTACACCATTTGAGAATAATGTATTGACTTACCTCTTGTATCATACTTGCTGCTACAGCATAGGTAATACCTGTCCAGAATTCCTCTGACTGAGGACTACTCGTATCTCTTGAACCATCTGGTTTGGTACCATTAATAGCTCCCATATTACCATTACCAAACTTCTTGACATTATTCTCATACACTGTTTTTAGAGCAGTTTTAACTCGATCAGATGGAAATACCTAAAGTAACAACATGGTCTTTATTATTTCAACAAATACAATGCTGGGACTAAAATTTAAACTGTTGAAATTGCTGAAGCTAGGACATCAAGATACTACTTTGCCATTAGAACTGCCAACTTGAGGTCCCTTTTTAAGTCTATTATTGTATTTTTGAGTGTAGGGTTGCTTTCTTTTGCAACTGGATTTGCAAATAAATACTCTTACAACAATATACTTTTAAAGTTAGTTAAAAAAAGTTAAAGAGGAAACAATACTTACTGCTTCATCTTTAATGTCTGATGCATGTAAATACCATTGCCCTGATAACTGATCAGCCATTATGCTATCATGATGTTCACTATTACTGCTATCATACTCATAATATTTACCTGCAAAAATATCACTTATGTGTCTAATCCCGTTATAAGGAGCATTACCAGTAGATAATGTTGGAAAAAAGGATGGTGAGATATGATTTTGTGTTGACTACAGTGAATAAACTTAGAAAAAACGCATTGCAGCACAGTTCATGTTACTTCTTATCATATAATCGCCAATTTTATAAGCACAAAATGATTTACTAAATTGGATATGAAAAGTGGATATTGGCAAATAAATCATTATTTGCAGCAAAATCAATGAAAAAGTTGCCTGAATACTAAAAATGCCTCTGGAAATAATAATGTGGATTTAAGATATCTAGCAGATCACGGAGAGATTTTAGAGACAATAATGTTTGTGGTAATTTTTGGCTACGATACATAAGACACACTTAAGGATTAACAAAATTAATGAAAGCCGTATCTAACATACCATTCCATAACTTGTCTTGATATGATTCAGCACCACGTTTTAATATAGCAGCATATCTATCTACATCATCAGTTTTACCCAATATAAAGCCCATTTCACATAATACACGTAAAGCAGCTAACCATAAACCTCCACAATATGCACTAGAATATCAACAATGAAATGAGCTGAGGCTTAAGTCATCAGGAAAAACATACACCATGCAGTCATTCAATGAGTCACATGAGTCATTCATATGCAGATATAGCAAACCACAAACAGTTATATTAGTAACTATGCTAACACTTTTCGAAAAAACTGATGGTACTTCTTCTTCTATTATACAATTATTGCTCACGATTTTGTCATGCTTTTGGCGAGATTTTCGCGTATACAAACTCTTATTAGTGACTGAAGTGAAACCAGTATGTGCAGACTAGTGCTGGCATATCCTGCTTCCAATTTCTGCAGTTTAAATTTTACAAATTGCATACCTTGCACCTTTCATGGTCCAAGCATCAAATGTTTGATCTGCATAACCTGAATTGTCTATTAATCCATCACCATCTGTATCCCAATCTATAGCATGTTCTATAACACCCTGAATAGGAATATGATTCAGCACCTCGTTAATAATGATTGTATACAAGCAGATAGGGAAGTGTCAAAAACTGATTTAATAAAAATATACATTATATATCACATAAAATGGAAATGCTTTTGAACTTCACAATTTTCTGCTCATGAGTGAAGATAACAAATTCTTCACATAAAGTGATGTGTTGTAGCACGCTGCAAAATTCAGCTTATTTTTTTTAAGTAATTGTACCCCCACTTCATTTCAGAGAAATTTCAAATATGAATGAATGAAAACAAATCAATTATATTTTCCAAATTGTTCTCCTCCAATTTGCCCCCATGCCAGACTTCCATCTATGCACTTCCCCATTTGGTATCGAATCACAACAATTGTCACTCATTTAAGTCTGCCCTTATTTGTACCCTCGATTCCAAGCGGCTGGCGCTACCACTGGTACTTTGAGGGGGTAGCTTTTACAAAGAGAAACTTTTATTGTATGGTATATTTAGTAGCAACTTACCACAGCAACAGGATACATTTCATGTAAATATTTTCTATCATTAGTAGCTACATAGTCTCTATATACTTGTAATACAAATTTAGTATTTAAATCTTTCCAGTCATGAGTAGGATGTATTGAATAACAATTCACCTTCTTCCATGGCTCTTCCTCTATAAAACAAATGACGTGCGTTTACATAAAACAGGCTTAACCCTTTGAGTAAATGTGTAAATGAATTAAATGTCATGTAGCCTGCACGGGAGCAATTTCTCTTGAAAGTGTTAATAGAAATGCACTCACACAGGAGTATTTAGTGAGAGGTGAAAGATTACTATAAAGACTCCAATTTTGTTATTTCTTGTTTATCATACACGCGATTGTCAAATTCAAATAAGCTTAATTGAAGCTTATTAAAAGGAAACCATCTCAAGTGTACAAGTAGCTCAGGAGAACTAACATCTAATCAAAAAATGTTGAGATTTACAACTTTTATAATATATGCAAAATATGCAAAATAACCTTAATGATAGTAGACCAATATGTCTAGTCCAGTAACAAAGAGACCAAGAGAGGTATCCTTAAACATTACCAGTAGATCATGGTAGGAAAAGGGATGGTAATATAAGATTTTATGTTGATTACATTGAGCAAACTTGAAAACCACACAATGAAACACAGTTCATGTTACTAGCTTCTCACACAGTTAACAATGATATAGGGACGAAAAGATTTACAACACTGGATATTAAAAGTGGCTACTGGCAATTATAGCATTACTGACAGCAAAATAAATGCCTGGATTTAGCCTGGATATTGAAGTACATACAGTGTTCATGTAGGGTTATGGGTGAACAATATATGTTAAAAGAATAAATATTTAAAATTACCTGGATCTCCAATATCATGTGGTACTGTATTAGCTATATGTGTTGGTCCTTTTTCACCACTCATAAGATACTGCATATTAGTTTCATCATTTCTGACTATTGTAGCAGCTAAAAAATATAAAGCATTTAACATTTATAAATAGTTTGAATTAAAAAAAAAACTCAAAGGTTATCACAAGATCTTCATAATCTTATATATTATACATCTCAAATATTATTTTGTATTATTCTAAAATCAGAGATTCATAAAATTTAGGTTGTGTTGAACTGCCAAAATGTGGTATACTCCACTTAAAATATGATTTAAAAAAAACACTTACCCATATCATATTGAAGAGATAACTGTAATTTAGGCCATAACATAATCAGAGCAAATGATGCATAATGATGTACATCATAGGTATTATACATTCTATATTCCATACCTGTATAATTTATTTGAAAAACCTATCAATAATAACAGAAGTCAGAGCGCAAAATGAATTATGACATAAGATAGGCAAAGCAGTCGCCTACAAATTGGTCCTTACCAAAGAAGGTCTGAGGAGTGATTGACCAATCAGATGACTGGAACACTTAAATTATCATAAGTAAAGTTTTCTGAGCATAAATATATTACCCTCTAAATAACCAAATCGACTATATTCTTTCACGACTGGATGTAGGTTGATATCAGCTTTAAAGTTTTTATCTAATTCGTGAGGGTCTAACCAGACTGTCCCACCATCACTGATATAATATAACTCATTATATAACGCTGACTTGTACCATCCAGGTAATTTTCTGGAAAATAAAAAAGTTTTGTTTTGCAAACATTAACACACAGACAAAACTTATTAATACAATAATGAGGGCTTCACCCCCTCCTGTTTTGATTGGTTAAATTCACCGCCCCATACAAATCTATTTTGATAAAGTGAACCATTATGCCATTTATTTATTGATAAGGGAGCCTGGTTTAAATAAAGATGCATAAATACACATTTATAGAGACAGATTTTTTTTACATTGAGCTGAAACATTATTCTGGTTATCCACTAAATTGTGATAATTGATTAGATTCAGAATAATAAACTTACTTGCTATTTAATACAGGTTGCTGCCAATCGTTTATTTTTTTCTCCCACATAGGGTAATTTTTTAATGCATGCTGACAAAGGTTTGGACCTGCATTACCTTCAGTACCGAACCAACGAGTGTAACGTCTACAAAACAGATATAAAACAAAATGTTAAGTACAAAAATATAAGTAGATTTGTAGGTTAACACTACTTTGCATTTTTCATTAATGTCTCTTGAATATTAAATAATACACACAACACTAAGCCCAATATCCCATTAGCTCTATTTGGATCTCACTTAATGGGATTGTAAGTAGCATCGATGTGCAACATTCAAATGTTCAGTCAGTCATCTGTGGTTCCTGCAATTCCATTGAGTGTTTTATAATGTCCTTTTTGCAAAGGTTCTAAGATAATATAAGCAACTTTTGCAATAGTGACCTCATAAAGTGCTTAGTTTTAGTGGAATTCGAATTCAATATTTACAAACCTAGCATAATGTTGTTCCTTGGCTCCAAATTGAATAACAGGCATATCCCAAGCTAAGGCAAAATCCAGTGATTTAGATGACATGGAGGGTACATTAATAAAGGCACATACAGCAACACCAATATCTTTTCCTTTATTACCAGTAGCTGGGCTGGCAGCTAAAAAAAACCAAACCAGAATTAAATATTTTACATTTGGAAAGAAAGAAACAAACAACTTAGGTTCACAAAGGATCATTTCTACAAGGTCCTCTTGGCATTAATCTTTCCAAGATTTTCCATACCTATTTACAACTGGGTCGACTAGATATATGTTTTTTCAAGGTCATCATACTTCACATGCAAACAAAGATTAGAACCCACAGCCACCATTTGCTTGTAACCAATCAAATGCCATGTAAAGAACCAATGCTCTAACCGACTGTGCTACAGTCCCTGGAGATTGCTACATGCACAGCATATAGTTTGACCTAATTATATTTCTTGCTGAAATCTGATATCTTAAACTAGTCTAAAATTCAAACTTGATATCATAATAGGTCCATAATATGGTTTTATGATAAGGAACACTGAAATTATATGCTGAGAAATAATAATTTCAAAAGTGATCATTCTAAAAAAATTACAAAAAAAGAAAAAGGTGAATCTATTAAGATTATGATAAATTTACTATAAGTCTATGAGTAAATTTCAGAAACTCAGTTGATTTGAAATTCAGAATTAAAATGTATCAAATAAAGCAAAGTAACTCCATATAATAAGTTATGAAGGGAAAACAGCAATGTCAAAATAAATGGAAGATGACCACAAATATAGATAACAAAATGTAACACAATATTGATATACAACAAAATCTATGCCATATTCTTGATAAATGTAAATCTTAGAATATCGTTGTGATAATAAAGAAAAATATTGTGATAAAAATTGTAATAATAAAATAAAATTATCGTGATTGGGATACATGCCTGGTGTGTTACCTAGTTTACCATCTTCATACAAATCATTCCATAATTCTTCACCACTACCATGAGGGTCAAAATTAACAACTGTACTTATATCTACATCAGGCTGTATTGAAAAATGAAAGCATGACCTGGGGTTTAAACAAATTTTGACACATTCTGACTAAGTCCAAGGCTATAACTAAAGCTCTTTCATCCAAAATACAAAATTAAATCCTAATAAAATGCACATAAACAAAACATTTAGTTTCTAATATTATAATATACTGATTCAGATGCCTTGACAAAAAACAAAAAACAAAAAAATCAACCAAGAACTTGTCAAAGATCTCATCACTCGACATGGATGAAAACTGTAGATTCTATCGAGCTCATAAATAATACCCATGGATAGATCCACAGATAAAATTTGGTACCAGTGACTAGTAGCAGAGCTATACTAAAATTATAAAATAAAAACAAACCTTAGAGATAGACGCTAAAGAATAGGTACATTTCATCCCATTAAACAATTGATGTATAGAAACACCGGTCAAGTCTTGTTTCTGGAACTCTCCACTAGATATACCTTTATTACAATCATTTTTGCTGCCCTGGCCATTTTGAAAGGTGAAGGTTATGCTGGCTTCTAAATCTTCTGGTCCATTATTCTCTATTGTCCAAACAAAAACAGCAGTTGGTAGACTAGTTTCCTGAAGGAATTTAAAGGAACCAGTAAAAGATAGTTTGGATTCTTTTCAAATTTGTAAAGAAAATTCTTTCTTTCAAGTTATTGGTGATGATTTAGAAGGTAGGGTTCTTGCTTCCTAACTTAGAGGTCTTGGATCTCAGCATTAAGATAGTCGAGTGATTTAGGTCATTGGGAATGCCATGGAAAATCCTCTTCTAGTGCAGATAAATCAAGACCCTGTGAGCACATTAAAGTTCCACAATATTCTCACTATGTGGTATGTTGTCCAGTCTGGATGACAATGAAGGACATAAAATATAAGATAAACATGCACTTCTGATCATTTCATTTTCTTTGGAAGTTCATTTTTTGATTCCTAGCAATCACTGAAGATTTGGATTAGGATGCCTTTGATTCATAATAAAAGGTTTCTAAAAGAATTAACTTATATTCACGAGGATAGATAGGTGATATCTGTTTACATATTAATTAACATTATTTTATTTAATATTCTAGTAGGGTTAAAAAGAAAGTACCTGATATTCATGAGGATAGATAGGTGATATCTGTCTACATATCAATTTAACATTATGTTTTTTAATATCATAAACTGTCCAGGCTCTAGGATACAGAGCATGATATGTGGCACTACCACCAGGAAAACCCCAGGACCAGTTCTTTAGTGACTTGCCCTTTTTAACTTGAGATGATAATACTTGTTGATATACAGTCACGCCATTTCTTCTGATACACACTATAAACTGAAAACAAATTGGAAAAAATCTAAATTAAATTACTTCAGCCATATTATCCACAAATTCCTGACTTTGACAATTGCCCGAAATTGGACTAAACCTTAGATTTTTTTGTTCATGATATGTTTTTCAGACACCATGTTCATCTGCAATTCAATGAGAGAAATAACCCACCGACATAATATTATTCAAATTTGATCAAATTTTTAAGAAACATTTAATCACCACTTTCAAAAATGTATAGATATTTTTTTACCAAAATTGTTAACACATATTTATTCGTATTTATTGTATATAAACCTTAAATCCGATTACAAATTAATAAGTGTTCAGGGATAAATAAAAATAAAATTGAGATCAGATTAAATGAATATCTATAGGACTTTTTCATTTTATAATGGAGTTTAGTCATGATGAATAAATAAAATGGCCCATCACCCGCTGAGGGGTAAAATTACACATTTAACAGGGCGTAAAAAACACTGAGTTAAAATTAGTTTTTTATATGAAAAGAAAATGAGATAATAAGGCAACATGAAAATAATTCAGCCATTAAAAAAACTGGCTTTATTTGTTGTTTAACTGCAACATGACTTTCTACTTTTAAAATAATTATTTTCTCAAGTTTTATTCTTTTGTGTTTAAAATAAGTGAGATCCCCTGTGTTTTGAATACAATGTATTAAAATAAATCAAACGACAATGGATACTTTATCAAAAAAGATTATAAGTATTCGAGTTTCTTTTCTCTTAATAGACTTAATACAGAATTTACCATATTCAAGAAAACAAATTTATTTTCTGAACAAAAAAAAAAAGTTTTTTGAATTTTCTAGATATTTTTTATGTGAATTGGAATATCAGCCTCGAAATAATACTGTTAGTCTTAGAATGTCTTTGCATTGAAATGAAACATATTTCTCTCTTAGATATTTCAACCCCAAAAAGTCCCAAATTTTGGCTGAAAATTGTCCTGGGGCTGAGTATTTTCCCTATGTAAAATGTTAAGTGGGATTGCACAAACCCTGGCCATCGTCAGTTCAAAGAGCCATGCCTGCCCCTCTAAAGAATCCTCCAACCCCCACACCCACATGGTAGAAAAGCCACTGTTTAGTTATACTTGTCCATGAAGAGTCCATACACTGCCGACTTATCTGTGTTTGGTACAAGATAGCCAGATGAGCAAATTGTCTAAGGCATTAAAAAAGTTAAGAGAAAATATCATGAAACAGTTCTCATACCTGATCTGCTTCTACAGTATGATGCCGATATATTCCTGGTATCATTTGAAAACGGCAAAATTCTCCTTTATAACCTCTACCAATAGTACCACATCCGATACCACCTATAGGACAACCTAGTAAATATATGTAACTGTTGTTTAACTATACTGTAAACAGGCAACGCCATGCAGTGTGCAATGAAGACAATATTGCCAGGATAGCAGCATTAGCCAAGTCTTTTTTTAGTTTCCAACTGTCGAAGGATGCTTTAAGAGTACAGCCTTTAGCATGGGGACATCCATATCTTGTGCAGTCCTCCAACCACCATCACTGTCAAGGGAGATTCGCTTAAAAATCCTAAGGTTTTATCATGAAATTTCTCACAGAAAATAACAGAATAAAATTCTTGCTCATTTAAGAGAATTTCTGGTGCCATAGACAGTGTTTTTGGGGATCATTTTGGTAATTATTATATCTTATTCTACATTTTATTTAATTAACCCAATAAATATTTTTTATCTCATGAAAATAAGCCATTGGGTATAAACTTCATGGTATTGATCTTACAAAGGTTGTCTTTAAACACTTATTTTTGGCTTTTAATTCTTAGATAAAGATAATCTCTAACAAGAGTATTACATTGGATTAAGTCATATTATACTAATCCATCTAGAGTTAATAAACTATATTTACCATATATAGGATTATGTTTTATTGCATTCATATGATCAATGAATGGTTTCTTTCCTTCTTTCTTCTTTTTCATCCACATAGCACTATATCTAGAATATATCATTTCACAAATTGAATATTATGTTAAATATTTGAGATATGATATTTTCAATTCATTGCATATATCACTTCATTTGTGACATAGAATTTGAAATATCATGTATATGTACAGGATATAAGATGAAAATGTCAATTTTGGAATATCATGTTATCATATTTTTTGGGACATGAATTTTAATATCATGTTATCATATTTTTTGGGACATGAATTTGGTATGTCATATTATTACATCTTTGGTGCATGAATTTTGAATATCATGTTATTATATTTTTTGGGACATGAATTTGGTATGTCATATTATTACATCTTTGGTGCATGAATTTTGAATATCATGTTATTATATTTTTTGGGACATGAATTTGGTATGTCATATTATTACATCTTTGGTGCATGAATTTTGAATATCATGTTATTATATTTTTTGGGACATGAATTTGGTATGTCATATTATTACATCTTTGGTGCATGAATTTTGAATATCATGTTATTATATTTTTTGGGACATGAATTTGGTATGTCATATTATTACATCTTCGGTGCATGAATTTTGAATATCATGTTATTATATTTTTTGGGACATGAATTTGGTATGTCATGTTATTACATCTTTGGTGCATGAATTTTGAATATCATGTTATTATATTTTTTGGGACATGAATTTGGTATGTCATATTATTACATCTTTGGTGCATGAATTTTGAATATCATGTTATTATATTTTTTGGGACATGAATTTGGTATGTCATATTATTACATCTTTGGTGCATGAATTTTGAATATCATGTTATTATATTTTTTGGGACATGAATTTGGTATGTCATATTATTACATCTTTGGTGCATGAATTTTGAATATCATGTTATTATATCTTTTGGGACATGAATTTGGTATGTCATATTATTACATCTTTGGTGCATGAATTTTGAATATCATGTTATTATATTTTTTGGGACATGAATTTGGTATGTCATATTATTACATCTTTGGTGCATGAATTTTGAATATCATGTTATTATATTTTTTGGGACATGAATTTGGTATGTCATATTATTACATCTTTGGTGCATGAATTTTGAATATCATGTTATTATATTTTTTGGGGCATGAATTTGGTATGTCATATTATTACATCTTTGGTGCATGAATTTTGAATATCATGTTATCATATTTTTTGGGACATGAATTTGGTATGTCATATTATTACATCTTTGGTGCATGAATTTTGAATATCATGTTATCATATTTTTTGGGACATGAATTTTGAATATCATGTTTTCATATCTTTTGGGACATGAATTTTATATATCATGTTATTATATTTTTTTGGGACGTGAATTTGGAATGTCATGTTATCATATTTTTTAGGACATGTCATATTATCCAATTTTTGGAATATGACTATAACAGAATATGATTTTATCTTTTGAGACATGAAATTAGAATGCCATTTCAACATTAGATACGAATTTGGAATAATAATACCAATGTTAAAACCCATTTTGACTAAATTTGAGAAAAAAACGCAAAATATGTGGTTTCTAAATGCATAAACCGATATTGATAGGTTAGAATGATATAAAGAGTAGAAACAGCTGCTAGCAGAAGAATGACTCATATTATTAATATCACATACTGGTATGCTTATATATCATATTATGAATGAAGAATTTAAATATACATAGTTCAATATAATGTAATAATATTGTATATCTTGACAAGTTTCCCATACCATTTCTATATATATACATAATGATATGCTTTAGTATATAAGTAACAGATGTTGTCCACAGGTATTACTTTTATAGCTTCCTGATTTTCCTTCAATCCCCATTATACAGAACTACTTTCATATTGAATGTTCATGTATGGATATCTTTTTAAACTAATGGGTCAGATCAGAACTTATTTCTAATCTCAGTTGCCATTAAAGACGTAAGGCTCTTTAAATATATCCTACAATAGCTAAATTTCACCTATAGCTTAACGAATGTCTGTAAATATTTGCTGAAATTATACAGCCATCTATAGCTCGTTTGGTTCTTATATCATTCAACAAAAATTAACCATCATGGAACTACTGATGGGCAATTACGACAACTTCATGATCTAGATATCTGGCCTAATAATGTCTATCAACTGCTGTCTTCAACAGCATTCCTTTATTAAATTGCAGTAGAATTGGACTTCATATTTCAATTCTGAAAAGCGATATGGGTAGCTGAAAATAAGCTTTATCATCTGGTATAGCAAGAACCTATATGACTATGTCCCTAAAGATCTGGACAGTGTTCATCTGCTTCCAATTCAAAACAGACGTTCTAGTACATTATCAATCACATGGTTTTGTTAGTATCCAGAAACTCCTTGGGGAATGAGGAATATTGCTGTATAATAAGCTAAAAATCATCTCAAGATCTGACAATGATAGTTTTAGCTGTAGTTAAAGGGTAAAAGAGGTATTCGGGAAACTGTTAGCATCGATTTGCACCATTCCAATTTTCAATCATACATCTGTTGTTATTGATGGCAAAGGGCCTTATATAATATTAGCAGATTTTGTACAAACAGATGTTGTTATAAGCAAGCCGTTGCAAAAGTTTTTTTCGGTATCCAGAAATTTCTTGAAGATTATTGACATCTCTATAAGTATAAAATAAGAGCTTAAATTCAGCTTGTAATCTACTGTCATTAAGCTTATAGAAACAGATGCCATCATGTATTACAAGTTAGCCTAATATTTCGTATTACAGTATACTGGTAGAGGAAGTTTGCATGAATCTATATCAATTTCTATACCTGACCTATTTAATTGTCTATTTTTTTACTATATGTTTAAGCTATAAGAGCTTAATTAGAGCTTTATAGGTTTCATCATAATGAATATCATAATTTAAATCATGTTTTTATCATTTCATCCAAATATATTAATAAAAATGAAATAATGTTTGGCACATTTAGTTTAAATTAAAGAGCCCCTTCCATTTCCAATTTTTGAGGGATCTTTAACGGTCATAGGGCTGGGGGATACCAGTATGACTAACGATACAACTTCTGAAACTAGTATTTATCGCGATATCAGTTTATTGTACTAAATGGGCACATCCCTTATTAACCTGATCTACAACACTGACAGGAAAGAAAAAACATATACTTTATTTTACAAGGATAACAACTTGAGTTCACAATTAAGGATCATTTCTACCAGCTGGTCCTTGAGCAAACCTCTGGCATTGATCCATATCGGTACCCATTTACAGCTGGGTTGACTGGAATTATGAGTGAAGATAAGGTCATCCAATTGAGATAAAAAAAAAAATAACAGCCATTAGGTTCTGAAACTGGGTTTCAAAAGGAATAATCTTGACTAGGGCCGGGTAAAATAATCGAAATAATCCATTAAAATCGCTACAAATTTATATCAAAGTAACATTTTCACCACTGTCCCTGTGCATAAAAACTAAAATGAAACATAAACTTACCTCATGCTCAGACCCATGTACTGGGGTATTTGTGAAACTCTTGGCTTGAAGAAAGGTGAACATTTATCAGGACATTCATATGATAACTTGACTCTCCAGCCAAAGTCAGGTACACCTGAATGCAAATAGACAAATCATCAAGAACAGATTTACCACTGATAGGCCTATCAGACAATAGGAAACAAAGTTTGATTTTTTTTGCTTAAGAGTTCAAAGATGCTTGTGATTTAAACCAGTGTGGCAAAAGTTAATAAGGCACCTTTTCTACCGTGTTTCACTTTAGCAACTAAACTTTATAATAAATGCCATAGTTAAAGATAAATATTCATGTCATGCAATTTTCAAAACCAACAATAACAAAGCTTCAAGAAGGTAATTTTTACATTTGGTTTTGTAAAATGAACACCCAGAAACTCTGAAATATATGATTATCAGCATTCAATGAATAAATGACTGCCTTCAAATGAAGCAATTTGTATAAAGCTATAATTAAGTGAATCACAACCCTGTCTATTTATTTATAAGTACCAGTAGTTTAAATGATGATGACCAATGACCTGTATCACCATACAAACTTCTCTGCTATAGATCGACTAGTCATCAAAGGACCTTGTGATAATGTCAACTTGTGATCTTGTGATTAGTTCAACTTGTGATCTGGTGATGATCTGGCTATTAGGTCAACTTGTAATCTTGTGATTAGATCATTTTTGATTAGGTCAACTTGTGATTAGGTCAACTTGTTATCTTGTGATTAGGTCAACTTGTGATTAGGTCAGCTTGTAATCTTGTGATTAGGTCAACTTGTGATTAGGTCAACTTGCAATCTTGTGATTAGGTCTACTTGTGATTAGGTTAACTTGCAATCTTGTGATTAGGTCAACTTGTGATTAGGTCAACTTGTGATCTGATTCAGTCTCTCACAACATGATGCCAATGACCCATAGGCCTAATCAATAATGAGTGACACATATTGTATCTAATATTCCTACTTTATATATAAAAAAAAATCTGTAATAGTGTCATAGCCATCATAGGACTTAGCCACAATACACATTAATACACATAAGTTACCCCAAGCCAATTTACATAATTATTATTATCATTTCTCACCTGGAATGTCTTCTGCAGGTGTCCTGGGTGCACCATCTCCCCCTACCACTTTAGACATACTTTCAGCTTCAGAAATACAGAAACTAAAAAAAAAACAGATGGAGCCGACTATAACAGACCTACTGGAAAGCAGGTTGATATCGTAGATGTTATTGATTGTTTTATTTCATTATTATCTACAACACTACAACTTCCAACAACCGGCTTGTAAACCGAAAGTATATTATGTTGATCTATCACCACGACTATCTCGTATCATTAAAAAATTCGCATGATACAATTTTATTTAAAGTGGCTCAAAACTCAATTTCGATCAATGAAATAAAATATCATGAATTTTTTCTAACCAAGTACATTGGTAACAAAGATTCGCAATATTCAAAGAATATCAACAGCCGATAATCACTGTAATTGAACTCACAGTCTCAGGGTGCAATCGTCCCTTTAAGTTCATGGTGATGTGCCATGATAATAAATGCACGAGTCATTTGTGTGGATAGGCTAAAATGAAATCTAAGATGTCGTAAATCAAACACAATAACGTTATATTATTCTTAAGAATGATTTTGTAACAACTTACAATTGGTATTTTATGATATAGTTTTTTTAGTATGGGCTTATCTGGAAAAAATTACATGTTCATAACATTTTCTGTTTTTATGAGAACAGAATTACGACAATCAGCAACATGAATGATGTTGACATGTCAAAAGAAAACTTTTAGAAAATAATTTTATGATGAAAAGCCCAAATAATTAAACAGTTAACAGGTGAATGATGTCCGTTTTCATTTTGTGCAGTAATTTCATTATTCTGTAATGTGACATTGAATTCCGAAAAGTTTTGTGACATATTTCAGGACAGTTTCAGTCGTTAAGCACTATTTTACTCCAGCTGTCAGTGTCATTGTCATGATCATGTCATCTCATTGACAGTCAGCCTCCCGAGACTGGGGGTACAAACAGGGGGCACAAACAGGGGGCATACTGACTCAAAGGGGGGACAACATTCGATGCTGAATTAAAAATACGACAACTCTGTGGAGGCATCATAGTTGCAAGCCCCTGATTTGTGTCTTTTTTTCAAAAATTGAATTCATTAGATGCACTTAGATACATATTTTGGGGCAAAGAAAATAAAAATTTTCACTTGGGAAAATTCATACTTTCAAATAATCAATTTTTCATTGTCATTTCCATCAACAAGAAGACTATATGATATTCTCAGTAGTAATAAGTAATCCCATGTTGATGTTGATATGTCAATATTCATGTAAAAAGATAAATATTGTGGTCAGACACTTTTTTGATGGATGATAGTACTGTAGACACCATAACATTTAATTAAAGAAACTTTTAATGCATGTTGGAGAGACTAACATGGAAACCCATATTTAACTTTTATATGTATGATTTCAGCAGGTAGTCAGCTATATCAGTGATAAGATGTAAGTTTTTAAACTGAAAAGCAGTTAAAAGATAAAAATGGTGGAAGTGTCAGGTCATTTATTACGTGGACCAGTATTTCTAGCTGGAGAGACTTTACAGTGTGAAATTAATTTCCATCATCCTGGATTGCTATCTGCCGAGTAAGTTTTTTGATAGATTTCATTTGAGGGTCATCACATTCAAACAAGACAGTTGACTGCCAACTATAAGTGCAAACTCTAAACAGCCAATAAATTATTTTGAAGGAATCATTAGGCACAATTTTTGGAGGACTTTGTTTCCTGCAATCATTAAATCTATAGCCCTACTTAGGGTAAAGATGGACAATCTTGCCTTTCTTTCATCACACAGTAACGTTCTTCAAAACCACCTTTGTCACTTTTGTGATCTTAATCAACTTTTTAAATGAAAATAATCACAGCTGATTTCATGGCTTCTGCAAGGGCTTTGCTTCCTATATGAGAAGAGAAAATGATAGGAATAGCAGAACTAAGGAATTTCTTTTTGGATCTTGGACCTCATGAACATTGAGGGAAAATCTCTGTATTTCTTTTCTTTATAAAGAACTTCCACATATAGGCTACTATCATATGCACATGCAGTAATGAAAATATGATTTGATAATTACAGATCAGGAGATGGTAATTCTGGTAATAAGATAAGATTAGCCTGGGCTAGTGTACAGATTATTTGTCAATGTACAGTCAGTGAATCTAGAGTTATATTACCTAGAGGACCTCTACCATCAACTGTAGATGTATCAACAACAGGCTGTGATACATCATTTGTTCCCAATAAAGGTAGGCCTATGCATAGGAGTGCTTTTTGATTTCTATAGTTTAATCTTCAAGCAAGTTTTGGGCCGAGATTTTCTACTAGCCAATGTGCTTTTTTTGTATTTAAACAATTTGTGCACCATTAAACAGGTGTACTGAATGTTCCAGCTCTGCACGAGACGAATTATTATTATTAGCATTTCTATGAACATTTCTATGAACATTTCTATGAACATTTCTATGAGCACCCATGTTAAATTTTTATATGTCCACATAATTCCATATGGAAATGCATTCCCACTACCCATCCAGTCTTGTATAAAAACCATTCCTTATAGTATAGTTAATTTCTAGCCATAATAAGACCAATGCCTTAGACACTAATTAAGAAATTTCTATTTATGTTCAACTGATATTTATGACATTGAGTCATGAGACATTAGATTCAAAAGAATGCTGAAGTAAGCTTACTTTCTCAATTTTATTGGTAGAAAATCAAACATGAATTATCTCCCTTTATTGCAGGTGAAAGAGGTCTGACTGTTTTATCAACAAAACCTAAAATATTATTCTGTGATTTATCATTACAGCCTAGACAAACCAAAACATGTAAGTATGTTTATATTTATCAAATTTATTTATATGGGGTTTAAAGAGACAGTTGCACTATTTTGGGGGTTGCTTTGAGTGTTGAATATATTTAAATAGTCTTCAAAAATACTAGATATGTAAGAAAACCACATAATTCCCTCAAAAATACCCCAAACTAGGAATTTTACTCACTATTTCTATATATCACAGAGTACCGGTATCTTAAAGTAATGAGTCGTCATTTTAACATTCAAACATAGATAATTCTGAACACACAAGGATTTGAACACTCTTATTCTGACACTGAGCTGTGAGCACTATTACTGATTGGCTCAGCTAGAAAATGATTCTCCTTTCTGAGATGATTGGCCAAAAAAATGGCGCATCTGTCCCTTTAAGAAGTTTAATCTCATTTCAATTTGTAACACATAGTTGTAATGGTTGAATGGGAATTCATTCCTGACACAGTATGCCATGTAGGCTTATTTAAAGCTTTGACAATAATTGTTTAAGGATTGAATGCTTCGCCATTCGAATTAACAAGTGAAAATGCTGCGTTAAAAAAAATCGACATTCAATTCTTATATTTACATTGGGTAGTGTTCAGGAATCTATCATGGTACTGTCTATTAAGATTATTGCCATAATATAATTTGATCTTGTTATTAATTATTTTAGTTCGTTATGAAGATTGTATACCAACTGATTCTCCACCATCATATAGAGGTCAAGCTGTTAAATATTCTTATAAAATTATCATTGGTACACAACGCTTTCAACAACCAACCAAATTGTTACGTATTCCATTTAGAGTTCTAGTTTTATATGGTAAATAATTTAACTTATCTGACAATGAAATTCAATACCTGAAAGCTTCTTAAAAGTCCACAAAAATATTGAAAAACATCAAATATATATATGTAATTCTATGCAAATCTATGCCTCTTGAGGTTTTATAGCACAGTCGGTTAGAACGTTGGTTCTTTACATGACGCCACTTGCTTGCTTATGTTGAGCAAATGGCAGCTGTGGGTTCAATTCTCGATCAGCTTATGATAGTCCGATGACCTTAAATAAGTCATCTTCACTCATAATTCCAGACGACCCAGCTGTAAATGGGTATAAATAATCCAGGAAAGATCAATGCCAAGAGGTTTGGCCAAGGACCACCTGGTATAAAAGGATCCTTTACTGTGTTATCCTTGTAAAATATAGTTGTTTCTTTTTTTCTTGTATCTGATATTATTTATTGTCATCCATGCTTGGCAAAAACAAAATAATTATTGATGAAAATGAAGCATGAAATAGAAATAAGGAGAAAAAACTCCAAACGTTACAATGATAGTTTTCCTCTGTAACTATTTACAGCTTAGCTCAATTGACTTTGAGAAACAAAAAATGATGATTTACCCAAAATTACCACAAAAAGTTCTGTGTCCTTTCCTTTGTGTATTAGATTTGATCTATGGCATATATTAATTAATAGATTAATTTAGATTATGAATAATATGTCTATTACTATAGGTTTAAATGATTTAAGTGTATATAATGAAGGTGAAGAGGTGGCCCCCAGTAATCCATTTTTACGTCCCAAACAGAAGGAGAATGCTGTGTTAGATATTGCTACTCAAGTTATGGCTACAGTCACTGCTCGAAAATCACCACGTAAGCAAGTTTTGTCAAAATCATGCTTGATCATTATTTGAAACTGGCTTGATACTTAATTAGCTGCCATGGCATTTTGTATCCAAAACACATTATTACTATTATTTCTTTTAAATTTAAAAATGTGAAAGAATACACCAAACCATTTTTATTTTACAAAAATAAATTCTTTGGAGATAACCCCCTCAGAAGCTTGCGCCTATGACGCCTCTACAAAGCTGTTGCATTCTGAATTGGTTCAGCATTGGTCATGCCTTTAAAATAATGGCCAAAATTATCAACAGCATAATGTGATATCTTAACATTTAAATATGACATACTTTCTCTTTGCACTTCAGATTCTTATAATATCACCAATAGTCATGGTAGAGTAGCTAAATTATTATTATTTAAACAAGCTTTTAAACTTGGAGATGATATTGTTGGTGTTTTTGAGTTTAAAGAAGGAAATGTTCCATGTGTACAGGTTAGTTGGCTAATAGTTGTTAAAACCAGTAACCACATAACCATCAAACCACAGTCAAACCACAGTCAAACCACAGTCAAATATGTTTTTTCACATAATCAGGATAAAAATCTGACCACTGCACAAAAACATACGGTAGATATTGTACTTGTATATTTTGAGGTAGAATACGTGGTAGGGAATGTGGATTATTATTGTTGGATTTCTTATCTATTCTATGTAGAATGAATCATTTCAGAAAATATGATTTTGATTTATTTTTTGTTCTATTTTATTCTAGTATTCTGTTACATTACAAAGTGAGGAACAGATATCAGAAGAGTGTCGTCACAAATTAGGACAAGGATCAGCAATAACATCGTTTGTTAAACATCAAGAAATGTGTTTACATGTTGATGAAACTCATATGGCAATACCAATACCTTTAACAGCTTCACCTGGTTTTATAACTGATATAGGTAAATGCAATGTATATTTCAGTGTAATATTTGTATATTTCAGTGAAACATTTGTAAATTTCAGTGAAATATTTGTATATTTCAATGAAATATTTGTATATTTCAGTGAAATATTTGTATATATCAGTGAAATATTTGTATATTTCAGTGAAATATTTGTATATTTCAGTGAAATATTTGTATATTTCAGTGAAATATTTGTATATTTCAGTGAAATATTTGTATATTTCAGTGAAATATTTGTATATTTCAGTGAGTTTAAGATGGAGATTACATTTTGAATTTGTAATATTTGTATATTTCAGTGAAATATTTGTATATTTCAGTGTAATATTTGTATATTTCAGTGTGTTTAAGATGGAGATTACATTTTGAATTTGTAATATTTGTATATTTCAGTGAAATATTTGTATATTTCAGTGTAATATTTGTATATTTCAGTGTGTTTAAGATGGAGATTACATTTTGAAATTGTAATATTTGTATATTGCAGTGTAATATTTGTATATTTCAGTGTAATATTTGTATATTTCAGTGTGCTTAAGATGGAGATTACATTTTGAATTTGTAACTCTAAGTGATCCTGGTAAGAAAAGTGATGTTGTCAATAAAATTGGTGATGATTTTACCAGTTGGAGAGGACCAGCTAATATAAATGTAGAGACAATGGTGTGGGATTTACCTATTAAAATATTCCCTGCTAATCCATTACATGTATCTGGTGTCACACTAATCAAATCTGGTGCCTCTATGAAAGTGTAAATATACATTTATAGCTGAAACTGTCAAAATTTGCTTTACCTGCAAATAGATCAAAATTTCACCAACCAATTATATACTGTATATTTGCGAATGTAGTGCGCAGCTTTTCACCCAAAGAGAGCTGGTTACACTGAGAGTAGACAGCCATTAAGATTACCATTTTAAATGATAACATGTATACCTATATATGGTTACAATATTATTATTTGAATATGAACCTGAAGCCAGAGTGATACAAGTGACCTAGTTTGAGCTCCATCAGATAATTTAGATAATATATTGAAATATATGAATTATTAAATATAATTTATCAAAATTTATAAAGTTATAATGTTGTAAATAATGGTTAAAGGAAGAGTTCTGCATTTATCATATTATTGTAACGCATATAGTTTGTGGTGTATATAGAAAACATATTTTATATAAATTTTGTCTTTTTTTTTATCAAAGTGGAACAGATATACCTCATCCATTTGTTGCAACGAAATTTTTGGTGGAATATTACTCCATCTTAATGCTTTTACTAATGCTGTATCCATCAGAAATATTGTGTCCCAACTAGCAAGCACCGTCCGTGGCGTAATGACAGATTTCTGTGGCCAGAAAAATACCGGTTGTCGACTAAATCGATACACAACCTACTTTCGTTTTAATCTGATAAGCTAGCAATCATTTTATGTTATTTTAATGGATGTCTAATTATATATTTAATTAATTGGATGACGCTCTTGAGGGCATCGATACAAGAAATACCGAGCATTAGGTCTACGGGTTATCGTTAAAAGTAGCTGAGATATCCCTAGTACTCCCCTCCTCCACACTTTGCACAATGATCAGGTTGATACATGTATGCGAATACGAAAGATTGCATTGAATTATTTTAGTGTGCACCGTTTTTGACCTGTTCCCCTTTTTCCCCAGCTGCTGTCGTGATGATGTCATACACAAAATCATGCTTTTATAAAAGGTTATTCACATAGTTATTTGACGTTAAATTGTACTCTTTCGGTAATGATTTCATTCGATTTTAAAACGGAATAGAGAGATATTTATGCCACTTCTATGCTCTAATTGAAACTGCCAATATCTCTGAAACTCGTCGACACACCTTGATGTCATGTGTTTCACAGAAGGTTGTTATCAACCATCTTGTACCGGAGTAAGTGACGGCCAATCACTACCTTGTGGCACTTCTAAAGTCTGTGAACAAATTGTCTCATAACGCTCTGTCAGAGTATAATATATAGTTTTTATAGAGCCCAAGTGTATCGATATTAATACATTTAATAATTTATATGATAAGAAATCGTCTGGGACATATCTCTTGCAATTTTCAGGTTTATGCGTAGATAAACTAAAACGACAATCATTTGGTGCATGTGTCCCACGAGAGCCAAACAATTTTTTATTAATTCCATATCTGATAGAGCTCGATTGCTTCTATCCTTATTTTTTTCAGAATAAAATTCCTATGTAGGGTTCATCTGCAATTATCACAAACTTAACGACGTCATCTATTATATCTGCCTTCGACAATGTTCAAAACGGCCTGAAAGTGACGGCAGTCTGCCATAGTGCAGTTTTTTTCTTTGAATTACAGGCGGATTTAAAATCTGAAAACTTCAGACGTCTGGTTTGCCTGCATAGAAATGCAATCTATCGCTATCGGTTTATAAAACAAATTATTTTCTCCCCAAATTCCCAGTCATAAACACTGTATGATATAATACAATTTTAATTAAATATAACTATTATCTTTTGAAAGTAGGAAGTATAAGCTGCTATTGTCTGAAAGTCCATATAGGTCAACTGAAATTAGTTCCAATATGATCCAGTGTCCAGTATCGATGAAGTTCATCTAGGCAATTAATTAATTTGTTAGGGTGTGATTTTTAATTACTCTTTCAAAGGTTTGAACTCTATGTTATTAACCCAAATCGTTAATGAAGCATCTCTTTAGAATGGACGATCTTGTCGCTAATATTTTGGCGGAACCAGTGAGGGTACAGAGATCATTTGTCAATGGTTTGTTCCCCAAATTGTACCCCCACTGCATTTATAACAATTTTCCAAAAATAATTTTCATACTTTTTGACTTAAAAATTTAAAATCAATTTTATTTTTCAAAATTTTGTAGTACGGGAGAACTCAAACGCTCAGATGGGAGGTTTGTGCCGATGCGCTCCACAGAACTGTCGTATTTTGAATCTGAACCTCGGCAGTTTGTCCCCCATTAAGTCAGTCTGTCCTCTAATTGTACCCTCAGTATCGAGAGGCTGCCGCCGCTACTGCGATAATAACTTGAAATCACCAGGGAGAACAGTGTCATGTATGCAGATCTCATCAAGATAACTCAGTAAATATATTATCATTAACAAATCAATCTATTGACTTAAACTAATCGTCAAGTGGAAACTTACTATAAAATCTATAAACATCTTTACTCGGAAATGGTTATTTAAAACTGTCATAACAGGATCTGCGTTGATAAAAAAATAAAGTTTAGTCTTTGATATTACGTCATTGCTCTCTGTGCATCGTTTATATTCTATTTTAGAACCGCAAACAAATCACCGAATAAAACTTTCTGTTAGTCCAATTACAGTACCTGAAGAAAACTTTACAAACGGAAAAAAGTTAAACCGATCACCAACTTAACAACAGAACCCTGAAGTAATACTCATGACCAACTTTACAGACAGAACCCTGAAGTAAATCTCATCACCAACTTTACAGACAGAACCCTGAAGTAAAACTCATCACCAACTTTACAGACAGAACCCTGAAGTAAAACTCATCACCAACTTTACAGACAGAACCCTGAAATAAAACTCATCACCAACATTACAGACAAAACACTGAAGTAATACTCATCACCAACTTTACAGATAGACCCCTGAAGTAAAACTCATCACCAACTTTACAGACAAAACACTGAAGTAATACTCATCACCAACTTTACAGACAAAACACTAATGTAAAACTCATCACCAACATTACAGACAAAACACTGAAGTAATACTCATCACCAACTTTACAGATAGACCCCTGAAGTAATACTCATCACCAACTTTACAGACAAAACACTGAAGTAATACTCATCACCAACTTTACAGATAGACCCCTGAAGTAAAACTCAGAAGCAACTTTACAGACAAAACACTGAAGTAATACTCATCACCAACTTTACAGACAAAACACTAATGTAAAACTCATCACCAACATTACAGACAAAACACTGAAGTAATACTCATCACCAACTTTACAGATAGACCCCTGAAGTAAAACTCAGAAGCAACTTTACAGACAAAACACTGAAGTAATACTCATCACCAACTTTACAGACAAAACACTAATGTAAAACTCATCACCAACATTACAGACAAAACACTGAAGTAATACTCATCACCAACTTTACAGATAGACCCCTGAAGTAAAACTCATCACCAACTTTACAGACAGAACCCTGAAGTAAAACTCATCACCAACTTTACAGACAAAAACACTGAAATATAACTCAGCAGCAACTTTACAGACAAAACACTGAAATAATACTCATCACCAACTTTACAGATAGACCCCTGAAGTAAAACTCATCACCAACTTTACAGACAGAACCCTGAAGTAAAACTCATCACCAACTTTACAGACAAAAACACTGAAATATAACTCAGCAGCAACTTTACAGACAAAACACTGAAGTAATACTCATCACCAACTTTACAGATAGACCCCTGAAGTAAAACTCATCACCAACTTTACAGACAGAACCCTGAAGTAAAACTCATCACCAACTTTACAGACAAAACCCTGAAGTAAAACTCATCACCAACTTTACAGACAGAACCCTGAAGTAATACTCATCACCAACTTTACAGACAGAACCCTGAAGTAATACTCATCACCAACTTTACAGACAGAACCCTGAAGTAATACTCATCACCAACTTTACAGACAAAACACTGAAATATAACTCAGCAGCAACTTTACAGACAAAACACTGAAGTAATACTCATCACCAACTTTACAGACAGAACCCTGAAGTAATACTCATCACCAACTTTACAGACAGAACCCTGAAGTAATACTCATCACCAACTTTACAGACAGAACCCTGAAGTAATACTCATCACTTTACAGACAAAACACTGAAGTAATACTCATCACCAACTTTACAGACAAAACACTAATGTAAAACTCATCACCAACATTACAGACAAAACACTGAAGTAATACTCATCACCAACTTTACAGATAGACCCCTGAAGTAATACTCATCACCAACTTTACAGACAGAACCCTGAAGTAAAACTCATCACCAACTTTACAGACAAAACACTGAAATAATACTCATCACCAACTTTACAGATAGAACCCTGAAGTAAAACTCATCACCAACTTTACAGACAGAACCCTGAAGTAAAACTCATCACCAACTTTACAGACAAAACACTGAAATATAACTCAGCAGCAACTTTACAG